CCCAGCCCTGCCCAGCCCTTTCCATCCCTGCCCAGCCCTGCTCCCTGCCAGGCCTCGCTTCTGCTTCTCTGGGATTAGCATCCCCAGCAGAGTAAATGTATGCAAAAGATCAGGCTTCGTACTGTTTCCTTCCTCTGCTGCTGCTGCTGGGTTTGCAGGGTGAGGAGCTCTTAAGCCTGTGTTCACAGACCTTAATTACTGCCTTTCAAAGAGCAAATAGCCCCGTTGGTTTATCTTCAGAGTCTGCTGAATTCTGCTGCAGAGTTACCAGATTGCTGCTGTTCTGTGAAATGTGTTCATCCCTGCCCTCCTCCTCCTCCTCCTCCTCCTCCTCTTCCTCCTCTTCCTCCCTTCTGCAAGAGAAAACCAGCACGATGTTCTGTTCTTGTCTTTGCCTATCTGGGTTTGCTTATGTTTCTTCTGAGATTGCTGACACTATTAAGAGGATGCTTTAAAAAAAAAAAAAAACAAAAAAAAAAACAAAAAAAACAAAAGGCAACTAAAAAAGGAAGATTTGGGATGATAAAACAGTTGAAACACTCAAACATCCCAATCTAAAGCGAGCCCTGTTGTCTTTGCTTACCTCTTGCCAGCAGGGTTTCTTAATCAACACAGCTTTTCTGGAGAGGGGGACTGGCTCCCAGTGCTGTTAGCTGATAGGTGATCCCTGGCCTGCCCTCGAGGGCAAATTTAGATTAATAAAGGAGGTGATGTGGAAGACTTGGGGTTATTATGGACCTAACATAAGCTGCCTGGAATGCAGACAAAAGCATGACCTGTTTTAGCAAAGAGGTGGGCAAAGATCATTCAATCTAATAATACTGTGCAAGAGCTTTCAGCAGAGCTTCCTTAGGAAAATACGCTGCATGCCAGAGAATGAGTGCTTTATTTAAGAATGTGTGTGTAAGAAATAGTTATTAAGAATGAAATCCAGTTTCAAAGCATTAACATACATTAAAAACAAAACCCAATTATGTGAGAGACATCCTGGAGAGTTATTTCATAGGTGATGGGGAACTGTGAGTGGTGCAATGGCAGAGGAAATGTGATTAATATATAGATATGAAATCTTCTCTCATAGGCATAAAAAAGAGGTTTAGACCACTTAGATTTCATTGTGCTTTTCTGATAATAATATTTCTGGATGTTCAGCAGATCTCAGGGGATGGTGATTCTCTCTGCCTCATGTACAATATTGCAGAGCAAACAATAAAAATAAAAACATTCTGCATATATTTATGATCAGGATTATCCCAGTGTTTGAGCAATTTACAGTCCTTGTTTATTCTTTCATTTCCCCAGTGACTGGGGAAGAGCTGGTATTTCAGTTTTACTGATGAAGAGCTGAGACAAAGTAAATGATGAAGATTGTGTATGAAGTCAGATTCTGCATTTAATTGCTAGGTTTACTAAATCCCAGCTTAACACACTGGACAGGAGACACGATTTCTTCTCCCTGGTGCAAATAATCACACTATGCATGAGATGTAGTGATATTTATTCTCTTAATTTATACTCTCCTCCAGCTGGAATTACATTTCTTGTTGGCAAGCAGGTTGCTCCCTGGGAGCACAGAGAGGGGTAGGACCAGAGCCCACCAACACATATGTGTCTGGGGAAATTCTGTGCCAGATCTGATGGCCACCACTCTGAGCTGGGGTGTTTCTGGGGGTACAGTGACTCCTTTAGGAAGGGAGTTTCTCAGTTTCTCTACATAGCAGGAGAGATTATTTTCTCTCCAAATAGCTCTGTAACAAAAGCTGGCTAATCCTTCATGAAAAACTTTATATGAGAACTTCTATGGTTTCTTTTTTTCCTGGAGAAATCATCTGATGAAGTAGCTGGGTGGGAGAGAGGTGGCCAGGTGTTCCCTTTTCCATGTGAGGGCTCTCACTGGAAATGGCCAGGGTGTTCTGAGGACTGTCCAGTGCAGCCACATGAGGAGGGCATGGGAGTCTGTCAGGGCAAAGGGGGCTGGCAGTGGCACTGTGCCACCCTGCCTGAGCTGCAGGGAACAAAGGCTCAGCAGAGGAGCTGCTGTGTCCCCCTGGGAGGGACACCCAAGAACCAAAACCTGGGGATTGTTTTGCATTGTGGTTGGGTGTCCATTCCACCAGCAGGGCTCTGCTGAGGAAGTTTCAGTGCCTTTGTGTTTGGGGGATGTTTCAGAACCCAGCTCTTTGCCGTTGCCGTGCAAAACTCAGAGCTGCTCTTTGGGAATTGTGTCAGGCTGGGTTGAGGGGCACCACCAGGGCTCCTCAGGTGCTTCTGTTCCTCCACTGTGTCCAGACAAAGCATAAACCTGAGGAAACCTGGGAAGGAGGTGGCTGCTGATCACTGAACCAGCTTCACCTGGCTGAATTTGAGAGCATCTTCTGTTCTGACACGAGCACTTGGAGCTCAGTGACTCCAAAGCCTGCTCCGCTGGGGAGGGGGTGTGAGCTGCTTACACTCCCTGCTACAGCCCCCGTGGCTGCTGCTTTCCAGCAGGCTGATCCTTTTAACACCCTTTCTGATTTCTTCCTCTGCAAGGCATCGAGATGGAAATCGTGGACAGCTGCCGGGACGGGAACGGCGGCTGCGAGCACGGCTGCGAGCACACGGCGGCGGGGCCGCGCTGCTCCTGCCGCCGCGGCCACCGCCTGGCCGGGGACGCCAAAGCCTGCCCAGGTAACCGTGCTGGGAGCAGGGAGCAGGCTGGAAGGGCCCGGGGAGCCCGCAGGAGAGCTGTTGCTCAGGGAAACGCGTGCCTCCGCTCCTTCTGCAGGTGTTGATTAACACCGCGCTGCTCCGGCTTGGGATGGGTCCCTGATGCACTAGTGGCACTGGTGCATCGCCTGGTACCAGGGCTGTGTCTCACCCTGGGCAGCCCAAGCATCACAGAGCTGACTTTGTTTCCCTCCCCTTCTCAGCTGGTGGTGGGAGCAGCAGCACAGCCATTCCCAAGTCCTTGGTGCCCAAACTCCACTTGGTGCTCCAGAGCCTGCTGTGTTTTCATCAGATCTGTTCAGTGATGAGGTTGTTGCACTTCTGCCTGTGAGACGTCTCACTCGGGAGGTGAAAGCAGCAGAGTTAGATTTGGGTTTATTTTGAGACAAGAGCTTAAAAAGTCATTCATGTTTTAAGCGATTCTACTACAAGGTGTTTTTTTATGTGTGTGTTTTGTGTTTTTGTTTTGTTTATGGCTTTTGTCATGCAAAATGTATCTCATTCTGCTTTGGGCTTGCTGTCTCTGTGCCATTACAGTTTTTAAGAATAGCCAGGAAGAGAGGGAGAATGGAAAAAGGAACAGGCACCACAAAGCAGTGTAGTGAGATAAGAGATGATGAGAAGAGGTAGAGAGTGGGAGCACTGATGAGTGTAAGAGGCATTACAGACAAAAGGAGTCTTGCAAGGAAAAAAAGCCAAGTGCAGGAGAGAGGAGGAGGAGGGAAGCACTGAGGGCTGCAAGGGTGGGTGATGATGGAGCTTAAAAAGCAAAACCAGAAAAGGTTTGGGAGGCAGATTTGGATCCAGAGCCTCTCAGGGGTGGGTGGGTTACACAGTCTTGTCTGTAGAGCTGACAGGAGGCAAAGCAGCCTCCTGCCCACACCCCAGCTCAGTGACCTGCTGCTGGGGAGCTCAGAGGGAAGCAGATACTCCAGACACAGCAAGGGAAGGGGGAGAATGCAGAGGAAGGCTGAAGACATGAAAAGTTGCTCTTAACAGCAAAAATCTCCTTTTTGTTGGATGCAGATTTTGCATTCCTGCACAAACAAGGGGCTGTTTCTGGAACCCAGAGCAAGGCATCACCTGATGGCACTGCAGAGGAGCTCAGCTTGTGACATTTCTGGAAAACACTGCCTTCAAATAACCTGCATTAATCATTTTCACACTGACCTCCTCACCTGGATTGATTAATTACATTTTCTTTCTCCTGTCCGTGTTTCCTCATAAAGCTGGTGCTCCTTCCAAGGTTAATTGAGACACTGACCTTTCCCATCTGCAGCTGCTCAGCCAGGCCATGTTCAGAAGCATTTTGCAGACTCAGCATTGACAAGGTGGCCCTTGGATGGCCACTGACCTCCTCAGCAGCCTGACAGCAGCCAGGAGCCTGCAGTGCACAGATAACAGCTCAGCTCTCCTATCTAATCACCAGAACAGTGGTGTCAATTATACCAATTTCTGAGCGGGCACAGAGCAGGAGGAGGCAACAGGAAATGAGTTACCAAAAACTACAGTTGAACCTTCCAGGCTGCTGCTGTCCAGCAAGTGCCTGGTTGGATCAGAGCATTGTTGGTTTGCACTGAATGAGGTTGAATGTAAAGTCTAAATGGTCAGATGTAGGTTGCTGTTATACAGAATGGTTTTGAGGGCTGGTGAGTCCTTGTTGTCTCTTTTTGTAGAACCATAGAATATTCTGAGTTGGAAGGACACACAAGGATTGTTGAGTCCCACCCCTGGCCCTGCACAGACACACCAAATCCCATCCTGTGCATCCCTGGGAGCATTGTCCAAACCTCCTGGAGCTCTGGCAGCCTCAGGGCAGTGCCCAGCACCTTCTGGGGGAAGAACCTTTTCTGATATCCAACCTAAAACTCCCTGACACACCTCCAGCCATTCCCTTGGGTCCTATCCTTGATCACCCGCAAGACCAGCTGGTGTTTGTAAATCCCCTCATGGCAGCTCAGACTTGTAGAGGAGATGCCTCTCCCAGGACGTGGAGGGTCCTGGCTGCTCTGGGAGAAGATAGAAGGCAGCTGCTGTCGGGATTCAGGATTCAGCCAGTGTTTATGTGGTTGAAAGAAGGTGTAAAGCAGCACAAAAGCTCTCAGCAGAGCTGTGGCAGCAGCTGGGGGTGTCTCAAGGGCTGGACGTGCTGCTCTTTCCTTGCAGATGTGGACGAGTGTGAGACTGGAGAGTCCTGCTGCTCCCAGTTCTGCATCAACTACGCGGGGGGCTACGAGTGCGCCTGCAAGGCGGGGTTCCAGCTCAGCGCCGACGGCTGCGCCTGCGACGGTGAGCGGGATGGGATGGGATGGGATGGGATGGGATGGGATGGGATGGGATGGGATGGGCTGCAAGGCTCCCAAAGATCATCTCATTCCACCCCTGCTGTGGGCAGGGACACCTCCCACTGTCCCAGGCTGCTTCAAACCCTGTCCAGTGATGGAGCAGCCACAGCTTCTTTGGGCAGCCAGGGCTTCACCACCCTCAGAGTCAAGAATTCCCTTCTAATATCCAGTCTAAACCTTCCCTCTGTTAGTGTAAAGCCATTCCCACTTGTCCTGCATCATTCCACGCCCTTGTCAAAAGCCTTCTGGTACCAGTGGCTTGAACTAACTAATCACAGCCCAAGGCAGAAGAAATGCTGTCAAAGCCCTTTGCAGGGCTTTGTGGGCACTGCTCTAATGAGAGTCACTGACCCTATGCCAGCTTTGCTGATAAGGTTTCACAAATGTGCAATTTCCTCCTTGTGAAGCTGGGATACAGGAATAACCCAGCATCCAGCGTGGGGGAGTGGGGATGTGGGAGAGGAGCCAGCAGAGAGAAACTTTCCTTCCTCTCTCCATGGACACTTTATATTGATGTGTGTTAAAACACTCCTTCCACAAAAAAAGAGCCCTCAAAATAACTGAAGGATCAACTGAGCTTAACAGCTTAAAGCATCTGTTTTCACTCGAGACAAAAACTTCAGTGAAATAATCTGCTCCCTGTTGCCCTGAAATGTTTTCATGCCTCCAATACCAGAGAGAAGCGGAGAGCCCCAAAACACATAAGAAAAATTGTGTTTTCTTATGTATAGAATAATTTGTCAGATGCAGCTGGGCACAGCATGGGCTCTCCAAGCAGAAGTACTTGCTCCTAATCACCATTTATGTCTGGATTTTCTAGATGTGGATGAATGTCGTCTGGATAATGGCAACTGTGACCATTTCTGTGTGAATTCCCTGGGGTCCTACGAGTGTGCCTGTAAGGAGGGTTACAGGCTTGGGGATAGCAGATGGGCCTGCGTGGGTGAGTTCTTCTCAAAACTTGAGGGTCATTAAACACTTCCCACTGATTTAAAAAGTGATTTTGGAACGGGGATTTTCACAGATCCTGGGAATTTGGGAGCCCAGCTTGAGCCGTTTTTGAACGTGGCCAGGGTAGGGCTACGTGTAGTGCGTGGATCCACATTCATCCTCCAGTAATGGGTTTTGCCAAAGATTAATGGCAGATGAACACTTAAATCCCCTGGACGTGTTTGAAAACTTAAAGCTCCTGGTTTAGAAATAAATACTATTTTGACACTTCTCTTGCACTATTTGATGAAGTTTAACATCCTGTGGGAAAAAAACGAGGGTAGCCAGATTCTCCTTTGATCAACCATGGCAACTTTTCCATTAGTCAGTGACGTTATCCTGGATTTCTGCCAGTGTAACCAGTCCAGAGTTTAGCAGAGCAACTCAGTTTTATGACCAAGTTTAGCAACTGCTAAACCTTAAGCCAGAGTTTGATATTCTAACCAACACCAAAAAGAAAGCCAACTGATTTCCCGTCATTTTAAGGCCCAGGTTTTAATGTTTCTGAAAATAAATTGCTCAGCCAGCCTCACTTTCTATTTGTCATCTCCAAAACGAGCAAGAGTAATGACCTTCATTAACTAAAAATAATCTCAAACTTCAAGTGAGGAAAATGAATCTCCTCATTTAATTTTGATTCTCCAGGAGCAGAGTTTTTTCCAGAAGAAAGAAAAGGGAAAGATGGGGTGGGGAGGGCGTCTGTAAAACTCTGTAAGTCCGGATGAGAAAATGCCTGGGCTGGGACTGCTGGGAAGAGGGGTCAGTGGAACATCTAATGGCATCGTAGTAGTAAGAAAAGATGCAGCTGAGAGGCTGTGGAGGCAGGCTGGGGTGCTGATGGCTGTGTTTGTCCAGCCCTAGGTGAGGAGGAGGCGGATGCAGAGGAGGCAGCAGGGCTGGCTGGGGCCCCGGGGCTGCAGTTCCGAGGGCCCCCCCAGCTGCTCCGCTTCGCCCTCGGGGCCCTGGCCGAGGATGGAGACCCCCGAGGAGAGCTCACCCTGGTGCACAGGGTCGGTGAGTGAGCAGCAGGGCCCTGGGCCAGCACAGAAACCAGGGGGGAATCATCCCAGGGAGAGGATTTGGGGCTGGGCTGCCAGGGCTCAGCGTCGGGAGGAGGGGTGAGCGTTAATCCTGCACTCCTGCATCCTGCCTGTGTCCATGTTCCATCCCAAATGGGACCTGTTGGAGGAGCCAGGAGGCTGCCTGGATGCTTTGGGAGGGAGGCAGGGGAAGAGTGAGCAGCACAGCAAGCAGTGGCTGGGAGGCTGCTTGGAAAGCAGGATGCTCACAGCCCCAGGGGCAGCACCCAGGGAGAGCTCATCATGCCAGGGGTGAGAGGATGCCATGGCTTCCTGCAGGGCACTAAACCCTGGGGAAACACTCCCTTCCTCCTAGAGCTGGGAGCATGGGTCCTTGTTTACAAACCCTTTCAAAACAACTGGAGGCTTTTTGTTTAAGATATTTGCATTTTGTCTGTGTTAAAAACAATCCCCTGAAGATTGAGGCTTGCCTTGACTCTCTGGGGAAAGCACCAACCCATCCATGTATTGCTCAGCTCACATGGTGGCACACAGCACAGGAGCACCCACAGTCACAGGAGTGGGTGCAGAACAGCTTTGCACCCACCTGGGCTTTGCATGATTCAGTCTTTCCACCCAAAGGTGGAAACTTCACAATTTTAAGAGTTTTATGAGGTGAAACCCTCTATTTGCTTTGTGCTGAGTGCTGGTGAATCACCAGGGAGGATTTCTGTTTTTTTCCTATGTGTGTCCATGATTTTTATATAAACTCTACAATTACCCATCTGAGGACTGTGCCCTATGGGCAAAAATCAGGAGCTGGTCTTGACTTTAATAAAAAATCACCTTATTTTTAAGAACAAAACTGCTAGGACCCTCCCAAATCACTCAGTGTAGAGCTGGACTCAACGACACCGGTAACCAGCTGGGAAACTGATAAATGAGATAACCACAGGCAAAATTATCAGGCCTAGAAACCACAATCAAATATTTATTGGCCACTTTTTGCATGTTTTATTTATATTTAGCTACAGAAATTTGGGTATTATCAGTCACAGCTGAGCAGCTGCACTTTTTCTAGAGTTCAGGCTTTGCAGCATGCAGTGGTTTGTATGAAAAGGTGATGGAGAAAAGGAACTTTAAATGGTTTAGTAAGTTCTTTTACCTTCTGAATAGTAATTTATTCGTTGTGTTTTCAGACATGGCTGTGTGCTGCTATCTGTACTATAAAAAAGCCTGCTTTAACAGTAAGCTGGTGCAAGTAATTAAGTATTTTCTATAACTTGAATGACTTTTTAAGGTGGAAGCATGATGATTTTAATGGCGGTTTGTATTCTTCTCCTGAAGTATAAATTTGTACCCTTTTCCAAGTGGGAGCAGTGGGATTCTGAATGTCCCTGAAAGTTTGGGCATTTGTTCAGCTACAAAAAAGAGAACAGTTGGGTGCTCAAACCTAGAGGAAATCTGGCCTCACACAGAAAACTGTTGGTGAAATGCAACCAGCCTGTAACTTACTGAAATTAAGGCTGAAATCAGCTGCCAGCTCACTTTCAGGTGCTGTTAAAAATCCCCTTCCAAAAAGCCTCCAGCCACAGCCAAAAAGCCTTGAAGGCTCTAAACTCTGTGGATGGGATCTTCAATGCCACTGAAGTATTTTACCAGACATTCATTTTATTTTGCATGCCTGTCTCAATATACCCAACAAAGAGAACATGAGGGTGCAAGGGATAAAAGGAGTGTGGGAAAGGAGAGGGAACAAATGCATTTTCATATCAGGTTTCCTATATAAAACTTTTCATATCCATGAAGAGAAGAGACATGATAAATGTGTATTTTGCTTTGTTTTCCTAGAGCACTCAAACTGTGTGGTTGAAAATACCACTGCACTATGTTTAAGTAGCACTACATCCACTTACTGCAATAAAAGAACAGGGAAGAGAGAAGGAGCAAGGAGAGAAGGAAAGTCCCAATAAATTCTTACAGCTATATACGATGTTATCAAGCATTGGGTGCAAATTCACCTTTTCCGAAGGCAAAACTCTTGCTTTTAAAAGGTAGCTGGAAGTGCTGTTGGCTGGAGAATGACAGCATTTAGGGGAGGAAATTCCAGCTGAACACCCAGCTTTCCTTTTGCTTGGAAACATGAGGAGGGGAATTCGGGAATGCCTATTTTGCTTTTGTGCCAAACCGGCGGCGTTCGCAGCCCGGCCGTAGGTAAGAGCTCGTGGAGGAGTTTTTGCCTGGCTGCTCACTCAGCCCCGTGTGTTTTTTTTGCTGCCAGTGTGCCTGGGTGACACGTTTGGCCAGGACTGCAGCCTGAGCTGTGAGGATTGTCTGCACGGGGGCCGCTGCAACAGCGAGCGCAGCGGCTGCGTCTGCCCGCCCGGCTGGGCTGGCGTCATCTGCAACGAGAGTGAGTACAGGGGCTGGGAGGGGACTCTGCAGCTGGGGGATGGAGGAACCTCTTGTACTTCTCATCTGAGAAGCTCCTGAAGGAGCGCAGCTGTGTCAGAATCTAATTTACTCTGCTGGGGCACATTAGGTAGGAGTGTAAGTGGTGCCGCAGTACACAGAGGTCCCTGCACTCCAGTGAAGGTCAGGACAGAATCATCCTTGTCCTAAATATCTGAAGTTTCTTGGCCATGCTTCGTTCCACAGCCTACCTTGGTGACTTCCAGAAGTCTTGTCCCAGAAGTTGGTGTGACACTCTCAGTGGACATGTATGCTAAACTTGAGGTTTTCCATTGTAGCATCCCAAGACATTGCCTTTTAAATTTTTTTCTTATGTTTTCCATTTCTTTTTAGTTATCATTCTTTTTATTATTAGCATTACTTTCTCGGAGCAGTTAATTTTTCACATTGGAAATGCTATTTTTCAGAACTCCGTTGCCAAGTCAGTGCCCTTTATAACAGGTTTTCACTCTCCTTGCTCCTGTTTCCTGGCAGAAGATCTTTCTGATTCAGAAGTATGTGTCAAAACCCATAGGAAAGAGAGTGGTGATTTCTTGATGTGCTGTTCTTCATCTGCAGTTTGGCAAAACTTGTCTGCTGCTTGTCTGAGACATCATACAGCAGATTTCCTGTTTGAGATGGGTCTCTCCATTTTGTGGTGTGTGACATGATGGCCCATCATTCTCAGAAAGTCTTTGCTGTCACTGATGAGACAAAAAGTCGATGAAAATTTATTACTTGACATCACTAGACAGCACTCTTCAGGTTAATTGCCATCAAGATTGTTTAGGAGACATCATCACATGGACAGAAATGTAGAGAAATCAAGCAAGTGATTGAAACCAGCAGTCTGCCTGTGGTTATTTTGGGAGACTGATGTTGGCTTTGGTTTGTAAACACTGGGGGCAGCTAAGAGAATAGAATAGGGAAGATTAAAAGGATAATTTCCAGTCTGTCTAAGACAGTTCAAGCTATCAAGTGAGGATATTCTTACTTTTGTCCCTGGTGTGCTGGTAGTTCAGGATAGATTATAAAAATTTCAAGGCAGCATCCAAATTCTTTAGTTCATTTCATGAATAACAACATTTGTGATGTGTATTTGCACTAGACCTCCATGCATGTAGTCTAATGGAATTCACCTCTGGAATTTAAAGAATTTTAATAGGACTGTGTTACTGAGCTAAACCTGCTGTCTGATGAAGTCAGCAGGGACAGTGATAAATACAATATCTCTCTGTATGAATTAGTTATATGTGATTGCTTTCACTCTTTTCTCTTGCATTTTTTAATATACAGCACAATTCATGTTTTTAGGGCAAGCAGGTTTAGGCTAAGCTAAAACAGTGGAGAAAACTAGAACTAAATTTCTCTAATAATGCTCCAAAGAAGCGAAATGGAAATTGATGTGAAATGTCAACTTTCTTAATGTACATTGATAAAACGTCAGTGAAGTCAGATGACTCCAGCAACTGTATTCACTCAGGCTGCAAACAGCAGAGCAAGGCTGCATCTCACAGTTTGTTTTTGCTGTTGTGGATCCATTGCTGCCATGATTACCTGGGGAGTTTCAGAAACTACATTTGAAAAACAAGATATTATTTTTATAATAGCGTTTGGGAGAGAAAAGAAGAATGTTTAAAATATTTATCTCTGAGCATTCAAAGCTGTGCTCTGATGTTTAAGCTTTGGACTTGACAGGCAATGGTTTCTGAGCCCGCGCTTTGTGGGGAGGGGAGCATGTGCAGGGGGAGGGTTGGATACGTGACAGTGCTTCCCAAAGCTTGGTTAATTCAGTGTCCTTTGAGATGTCCTAGTAAACATCAGGTGGATGTACTTTACAGAAGAATATGACTTCATTTAGAGCCTGCTCAAATAAAAGGACTCTCTCCTTGCTCAGTTTTCACAGAATCACAAGAAACAATAAGGCTGGAAAAGACCTTTGAGATCGAGTCCAACCTATGACCCAGCACCACCTTCTCAACAAGCCCATGGCACTGAGTGCCACATCCAGTCTCTTCTTAAACACCTCCAGGGATGGTGACTCCACCAGGCAGCCCATTCCAATGCCCGATCACACTTTCTCTGAGGAAATTCCTCCTGATGTCCTACCTGAACCTCCCCTGGTGCAGCTTAAGGCTGTGTCCTCTTGCCCTGTTGCTGGTTGCCTGGGAGAGATCTATCCCCACCTGGCTGCACGCTCCTCTCAGAGTTCCTCTCAGTTGTAGGGAGCAATGAGGTCTCCCATGAGTTTTCCAGGCTGAACACCCCCAGCTCCCTCACAAGACTTGTGTCCCAGACCCTTCCTCAGCCTTGCTGCCCTTCTCAATGACCAGAGCCGTGTTTTGCTGGCTGTTCAGCAGAGGGTGTTGGAATCTGAGGTATCGATGATTCTGAGATTGTAGAAAGTCTCTGTTTTTCTGCCCCATTGTCAAAGAAGAAGCCATAATTGGTCTGTGCTGGTTTCAAGGTTGTTTATTCTGTTGATCTCTCACATGTTCTGCTGCCCTGCCCAGCTCTGTCCTGCAGGGCAGCGTGTGGGGCTCTGCCCTCAGTGGGATGTGACAAACATTAAATACCAGAAACTCCCTGGGCTGGATTTACAAGAACGTGCCAATATCTGTCACCTACGTTGGACAGTGTGTCCCCAGCCTGAACCAACAGAAAAATGCCAACACCACAGTGAGACATGGAGGGCATGAAGAAGGAGGAAAAGGACAAGGCACACCCAATTTCCTCCATCTTGTCCCCTTCGGACCCCTTATCTAGAATCTTAAAATTTTACTCTTGCGCCCACGCCACACTTAATTATTACTTATATCAAACCCTGAGAGCTTGTAATTCACCCTGTAAGATTGAAAACCCTTTTCCATGGACAGAGATCCCAGACAGTGTCTCTGGGGGCTCTGTCCAGGGGGGTTCCTGACCCCTGCCAGGGCAGCCAGAGGGAAGCCCTGGACTCCCACAGGAGGGGAAGGGTTTCTGGCTGTGCTGACTCACTGCTCTCTCCTCAGCCTGTCCCCCTGGCACGTTCGGCAGAGGCTGTGCTGGAGTCTGCGGCTGCCGCAACGGAGGCCGGTGTGACCCCGGCACGGGGCAGTGCCGCTGCCCGCCCGGCGTGCAGGGCCAGCTCTGCGAGGACGGTACGGCTCCAGCTCTGCCCCCGTGTTCCTTTGTTTTAAATACTGAGCAGAACAGAGGGTGAGAAAAGCCATTGCTGGCGAGGCTGCGCAGAGCTTGGCCACAAACCGCTCTGGGATCTGGGTTTGACCTGCAGGCGCTGATGCTTCCTGTGTTTGTGCACTCCAAAGGTTGCCCAAAAGGTTTCTTTGGGAAGAACTGTAACAAACCATGCAACTGTGCCAACAATGGCCACTGCCACAGACTGTATGGAGCCTGCCTGTGTGACCCTGGGCTCTACGGCCGCTTCTGCCACCTCAGTAAGTCCCCGGGGTTTTTGGGGTCTGTTCAATGTGTGCTGTAAAAGATTCCCCATCACTTAAAGGGGGCTGACAGAAAGGAAGGAGAGTGACTTCGTGCACAGTCAGGCAGTGCTAGGACAAGGAATGGATTTACTAAACCAGTGGAGGTTTAGCTTAGCTGTTAGAAAAATGTTCTTTGCTGTGAAGGTGGGCAGGCCCTGGCACAGGGTGCCCAGAGAAGCTGTGCCTGACCCTGGATCCCTGCAAGTGTCCAAGGCCAGGTTGGACAGGGCTTGGAGCAGCCTGGGACTGTGGAAGGTGTCCCTGGACATGGCAGGGGATGGAAGGAGATGGGATTTATTACCTTCCAATCCAAAACATTCTGTGATAAAATGATCAAGACTTTGGATTCTGCAATAGTTTGGGAGTAGCAGGAGGACAGGACTTTTGAGATGTGCCAGGAAGCCCCAGATGCCTCATTAATCTTTTACTCTAGTGATTAATCTTTGCTGTGAGGACTGAGATTTCCTGATGCTCAAAGCTGAGGATTATAGGTGGGGTGGACAAGTAAACATTAGGGTTATTGTTGAGGTTGGAATCTGGTTGGAGCTGGTTGGTGACTGCTGATGAGTTGGAGTGGTATCTGGGGAGCAGGGCTGGCTGGGACAGGATGAGGATCAGACATTAGATGGAATAAAAATAATTGAAACAAAAATTTTGCAAAATAGATTATTGAGTTTCTTTGTACTTAGACGTTTTGTTTATAAAATCTGTGCAAGATCAAAAATCTTTAGTTTTATTTTGTTTTGGGTTTGATTATGGAAGTTTTTGTCTTGGAGTGCACCCAATTTTTTTTTTTCATTCGGAAAATCAACTGAGTTTGCTTTGAAATGTTTCTGGTTCTTGCATTCACCACGTATTGCTTGACACAAAATGAAGGCCCAGCCCAGGGATCATGTAAACCCTTCTTCCACCCACCCATGCATGCACAGGTGCTGCTGTGGAGCAGGGGCGTACTCCTGAAAGCCAGACAGAGGTTTTGCCTCTTGCAGCAGTTGCATCCTGCAGCAGTGTGCAATTTCAGCCAGCTCCTGCATAATTCCAGAGCTGATGCTTCCTTTTCTTGTGGCTGCAGCCTGTCCGCGGTGGGCGTTCGGCGCGGGCTGCTCGGAGGAGTGTCAGTGTGTGAAGGAGCACACGCTGGAGTGCAGCCCCAGGAACGGCTCCTGCACCTGCCAGCCCGGATACCACGGCAAAAAGTGCCACAAAGGTACCACCCCCAGCTGGCTTCCCCGCATCTGCTTCTTCCTCTGTCCCACTAACTTCTCCTTCTTCCACCCATCTGCTTTCTCTGGCTGCTGCTACTCATATATTCGTATCCTAGGAATGATTTTGTGGGGTTTTAACCCTGCTAGGGTTGCAGGGACACTGAAGGTGAGCTTAGGAATTGGAGGAGTTTTAACATGGTCAAATGACAACAAAAATCCAGAACCTAAATCCTAATACAACATTAAGTAATGAAGATGGTTTGAGTTTTCATTTCTGTGCTTTTTTGACACAGTCAGTAAATAAGTGGCAAAATCTGTGTTTTATGGCAGTAGGGTGATTTGTAAGCAGGTTCAGTAATGCAGCTTTTCCTTCAGATTTGCAGCTCTTTGAATTCAACTTACTCTTTGTAGTTTTTGGGGGTAGTTCAAAGAGAATTGTATCCCGCATTCATGTTTGCATGTCTCAGTAGCCCTTTCCAGACAGCAGTGGAGAACACAATAAAGATTCTCCCTTCACATTTTTCTCTGGCCAGGATGTGTTGGATTTATGGCAGTAATTCTGGTGGGTTTGGTGGACAACAATAATGACAGTATTTAATATTTTTATAATTCTTGTTGATGGGCTGAGTTCTGACAGGGAGCATGCCTTGCCCAGCCCTGGCTGTGCACAAGGCAAAGAGCAGCAGAACTTAGACATCAAAGAGGAGAATTCCATAATGTATTTAATTGAATACATCCTCAAGTATTCTAATTGAATAAATCTTTAAGCATTCTGCCACTCTGTTTCTGGGTTACATTTAAGCAGTAACCTCTTTGAAATGTAAACATTTATTATTTACACTTTTTAACAACACCTCTAAAATGTACATTGTAATATATTCTCTGCAAGTTTCTTCCAAATTATTTTCTCATTTTAGTTCAGTTCTCTTAATTTTTCCTTTTTCTTATACATGTTCTGTATTTGCTTCTATTTTCAGAGTGCACCCCAGGGTTTTATGGGGCTGGCTGCAAACTGAGATGCAGCTGCCCTCCTGATGTTCTGTGTGATCCTGAGACAGGAGCCTGCAAACATCCATGTCCAGCTGGGTTTCATGGAGAAAAATGCCATTTGTGTAGGTACTCACTGCATGTTTCCCTGGGAGATACACTTGGGATGGAAAAGCTTATTCAGGAAACTTAGATTCAAATATAGAAGTTGAAGATAAACAGGTACATTTGTTGTGTATAGGAGTTGGCAGTTCCCCACTGAAACCAGGCTGATATTTGGAGCCTGGCAAATGCTGTCTCTCTTTCTCCCTCTCTCCCTGCAAAGGTCGAGGCACAAGGCTGAGGCCAGTTACCCAAACTAACATTTGTCCAGGTAACAATAGTTGCTTTTAAAGCTACAGGCATAGATTTTGCAGGGCACTGCTGCAAAATTAATTTCAGACCACCGGTTTCTCAGACACTACTGCTAACACTGATCACTTCTACCAGCTCAGCTCAGTTTAAAATTGGTGGCCGTGATTCCTCCTATTGTCTTCAAAATGCTCCTAACCATGACTTTGGGGTTTTTTGTCCAGCTTGTCAGCCTGGCAGCTTTGGGATGGGCTGCAGGCAGAGGTGCAGCTGTGGAGGAGCCCCGTGTGATCCGAGGACAGGGCAGTGTGTTTGCCCAGCTGGGAAGACTGGTGCTGCCTGTGAGCAAGGTGTGTGAGGTGCTGGACCAAGGTAGGGAGTGCCTGACGTTGGAAGATGTGACGTGAAGTAGAATTTGGCTGTTTCCCAAACCAATAAACAGACAAACTGTGATGGAAATTGGGAGAGAGCCTTTGGTCTCTCTTCAGCTTTCTTTTGTGCTGCAGTTTAATGACTGGGCTGATAGGGATGTAGGGCTGTAGAGATAATATAACAATCCAGCTCAGTTTTACTGTTATTTTTAAATTCTTTGGAGTAACAGCAGAAATCTACAACTGTCCTGAAACAGAAAATGGTACTGGTTACACCTCATGTGCTTTTTCTCCAGATTGCCCAGATGGCCAGTGGGGACCAGACTGCCAGAACTCCTGCGAGCCCTGCGCCAACGGGGGACAGTGCAACAGGGAAACTGGAGCCTGTGACTGTCCCCCTGGCTACATTGGGCCATCCTGCTCTGCCAGTGAGTCCTTGCCTCAGCCCTCCCCATGAAAAGAAAGTCAGGTTATGGTGTGATTTCTGCCTTCTTACTCTTTTGTGAGATAAAACACGCTCCTCTGAGATTAAGTGCCCTTCATCTCCAGGAATTCCCCAGCTTGGGTGTGACATTATTTGTGGGAGGGAGGTTGCAGATAAATGCACGTGATCAGCTAAGCTGCATCCCAAATTGATGTTATCATTAGACCTAATTTATGGCAAGCTGTACTTGGAAATGCAATGTTTAACAGCCACGCTGCTGGTGGTGTAATCCTGGCTGTTTGGCAAGAGGTGTGACCAGCTGGCCCACGTGGCATCATTCTTGAGTTACATTTGCAGCAGCACTCCTTGGTGTAGATCACTTAGGATTAAATAATACTGGAGATGAGGGGGCAGTATCAGTGCTATCCCTGCAGCCAGGGACCATGGGAATACATTCAAGGAACTGTTCTGTGCTGCTCTTCTGCCTCTGGGTGTTAAAAGGCTGCTTGAGCGAGGCTGTTGAGCTGCACAGAGGCAGCTCAGGACAGCTCTGCTTTGCGCAAGACCACGGTGGTGGCACATTTTTAATTCTTGTTAGTCATAAAATGGCTTTTGAGGAAGGTTTTCCTCCTCCAGTCCTGTACTCAGGCATTCCCACGTTCCAAGACTCAGCCCGAGACTCCCAGGGTGTGAGTAGATCCCAGATACTTCTGTGTTGCCGTTTTGATCCCTGGATTCAGCCTGTTTTAGGGGGTGAGCTGCTGCTCTGTGTTTGGGAAGATGATTGTGTGGCCGGGCTGTGAGCTGGGTGAAGTCAGAGCCTGTCTCTGTTTGCAGCCTGCCCCGATGGGCACTACGGACAGGGCTGCCTGTGGCTGTGCAGCTGTGGCAGCAGTGCTCAGTGTCACCACGTCACTGGAGAGTGCTCCTGTCCCCCGGGCTGGACTGGCCACGACTGCAAACACCGTAAGTCAGGGCACCCAGAACCTCTGGGGATTGCACGTTTGCTCTGTTTGCTCTTAGTTTATTACAGTTTTTTAATATAGTTTTGCTAATCTTACTGCTTCTGAAACGGTGTGTTTGTGGGTTTGCACAGCCTGGGTGGTTATAATCCTTCATTATCCAGGTTCAAAGCGTTGAAATAGATGGCTGATGAAGCGCAAAGTATTGATATAAGCTCTTATTTCAACACTATGGATCCCTTTGCCCAATACCATCTGTCCCGTCAGCATTTTGACTGACAGACAGTTTTGTTTTTCATTTTCAGTGCAGATTAGTTTTGAGATTAATTCTCCATTTCTCATTTTGTTTGGGGGAGATTTATTCAACAAGTGAGTGGCATGTAGAGTCGTGTGTCTAAAGGTCACTTTTTAACTTAGGAATATAAATGCTGTGAAAAATTCTGTTCTCTGGAAGAGCAGAGCATCCTTCTGTTGACTTTAGCATCGTTCTCCATATTGGTGGCTGTGTGAGAGTAGATTTGCCCTTTTTGGATGGCACCATATAAATGTGATGCTATTCTCCCTTTTCCTGTGACACATCTCTTCTGCTTGATTCATTGTGATGCCTCTTGCAAAAAGCCAATAGAAGACAAACCTCTTTCTAAACTTGGTGTTATACACATAAAATCATTTAATTGGCAGTGTTGGTAGCAGCAAGTTTTGCACCTGACTTCTCAGGCTCTGTGCTGAAGAAAATGGTGGGAAAATCTGAAGTGCCCACCCATATGCATATTTTAAAAATCAAGCCAGTTGGTAGTGTGTAGAACCACTGAGATGGCTTTTGGCGACTCTCTGGGCTGTCTAGAGAATTGAGAGACCACGACAAAGGAAAGCTTTTATTTCTACTCAGGATAAGATCTGAGAAAAATTGTTTTGCAGCGGTATCTTGGTACAGCAGCTCTTCCAGCTATTGCAGACCAGATTAAACAGATTCCCAACTCCAAAATCAGGTTTCTGTTGCCCTAATTGGCACTTTCATCTTCATCGTTTACTTGAAAGAGGGGACATGCTGTGGTATGTTGGTGTAATTGTGACAGTGCTATGTGATTTTAGGATGAAAGCAGTAAGTTCCTTTAACAAACATTGTGAGATGCGTTTGTGTCCATGCTGCATTTCCCAGTATTTTGGGGAAAGCATGGAAGGTGCTCCCAAATCTGCCTGGTTAAACCCATTAACTAATTCTGGTTATGCAGATTTTCGTTGAGTGAGTCAATAGCTGATATTTTATTTCCATTAAATTATAGATTTGTGACTGATGGGTGTGGATTCACAGCATCACTAGGTTGGAAGAGACCTTTAAGATCATTGAGTCCAGCCCATGCCTTAACACCACCTCAACTAAACCCTGGCACTGAGTGCCACATCCAGTCTTTTTTTAAACACACTCAGGGGTGGTGATTCCACCATCTCCCTAGGCAGATGATTCCACCATCTCCCTAGGCAGATGATTCCAGAACTTTATCACTCTGGATAAAGATAAGAGTAATATCTTTATCACTCTTCAGCCACTTGAATGTGCCACTCTAGTCTGCTTTCTAGAGGAACTCCTTTGAAGGTTCTCTCCCAAACACTCAAGTTTGCCCTAAACCAGGACACACTCTTTCAGCAAAAAACTTTTTCCTAACATCTAACCTAAATGTCCCTTGGCCCAGCTTATGAATTATTAGTTTTATGTGGATGGGGTAATATCTGCCTGTGTCCTGCCAGCAAAAATGGTCTTCATTTCCACAATTAGCGCCTGCGCTGCAGCTGGGAGTTTAACCCCGTGTTATTTTATGTACTCTGTGTTCTCTCACGTGGAGGTGCAGCAGGGTTTGGGGGTGGTGCTGGACGTGACCCCGTTTCCCTCGGCAGCCTGCAGCAGCGGCCGCTGGGGCCGGGGCTGCGCCAACTCCTGCGCCTGCCGCGGCTGCGACCCCGCCACGGGCGCCTGCTCCTGCCAGCCGGGACTCACCGGGCGGCACTGCCAGCTCAGGAAGTGCCTGCCTCCCCAGCACACGGAGCTCCCAAATCCCAGCTCCCTGGGGGCTGTGTTGTCCCGGTCGTTCCCCGCGGGAACGCTCCCAGGCTGTTCGCCCCTGCTCTGCCCCGCGCCGCGCTCTCGCGTTTCGCCAGGGTTAGACGCTTTCCCTAATTGGAGTTCCAGAAAAAGGTATTTTCAGCTTTGTTTTGGATCCAGCAGCTATTTTTAATGTTAGGATCTCATCAGAGGGATAGGATTGATGTATATTTGGGTTGTGGCGTAAGAGTTTCCGTATTGGTTTTATTTATTCAGTTTTAGGGCAGCACTTACCCTTTGAAAATCACTATTTCAGGTCAGGCATATAGAAATACTTCATATTTACATAACAGAAGGAAATCTAGGAATTTTTGGAGTCCTGTATTTATTAACAACAAAAATGTGCAATGGTCTTATCAGAGGCCCATGGCCCTCACCTTAACATTCACCTCTAACTGAGGTCAGTAGCAGATGCTTCAAGCATATGAAAACAGGCTCATAGTCAATTTCTCATATTTCTCCCCAGGTGCCATCAATTTCTCATTCAGGACTTTCATGAGACAAAAGCAATATCTCTATATTTAATACTGTTGATTTTTTTTCCAATTAATGTGCCTATTTTCTTTTTCATTTCATGCAAGCATTTGGAATCCACTTCATCTTGTGTCAGTAAGTTGCATAGTTAAGCTGCTATTACTATTATTATTGATTATATTGATGTTGTTAAATAAAACAAACATTCTATCTACTAGTCTAACAATCTTACAGTAGCACAGATGTAGCTACCAGAGTCTCAGTAGCGTGGGCAGGATTAACTGCTGGTGTCACACAGAAATGTCAAAACAATTAATCTGGACCCGTGACCTAAGACAAGGAAGCCTGGAAAGTTGATCTGGCAGCCCTTGTTGCTGTTGGCACAGAGGGAATGGAAGGACAGTGTGTGGGGAGGGCCAGCTCCCAGAGAAGGAGCTGCCAGCTCTGCTTCTCCTTCACTCTTGATCTCTCTCAAAATAGCATCTCTGCAGAGAGAGAGTGGCCAAATAGCTGCTTGCAAGCCTCGCTGGGAAGGGAATCAGTGAAGCCATTGCCACTGACAAAACATCTGATAGTCCCTAAAGTTCTTTCTGTTCACTTTAGTCTGCTTTTTACTCCTTTGTGTGTGTGTGTGTATATGTATGTTTAAAATTGCACATATATATATATGTGTTTGTGTGCATGTGTGTGTGCAAAACCATAGCTCTTCACATAATTTTATGCTACCTTGGAGGTGAAATCCTCACTATCCCTGGATATTTCCTCTGCTCTCCAGGCATCTCTTCCTTCTCCCTGCAGGCTGGGCTCCTTCCCCTGTCAGGAGCTCAGGTTCTCTGTCGGGGTGGCTGGATCCTGACACGCATCACAGCAGCCTGTGCCTGCTGGAGCAGGGGCAGATTCTCTGTGCTGTGGACTGTGAAATCATTTGTGAAGTGCTCTGACCCTTTGCCATCACCTTGAGAAGCTTCAGCTCTGGGCTAAACACTGTGGGCCTGAAGGGAGCTGTGCTGAGAGCCCCACACCTCCTGCTGCACTGCAGCACCATTTCCCTTGCACAGATTCTCTGACTGAAATTTCAGCTGAAAGGGAAACATGGAGAAGGATCAAGCTTTTAAGGCACAAGTGCACCTTTATGTATTTATTTGTTAAACAGTGATGTGCAGCTTTGGGAAGAGGGAGGGATTTCACCTGTAAGTGCAAAAAAATAGATTCTAACATGCTTTTAAACAAAGTCCCATTTTTTGACTCTTTGAAAGCTAAGAAGTACTTACGGTACCTTGCTCTTCTCTCATCTCCCATCCCAGCTCCTCTGTAAGACACACAGTTGGCAGAGTCACTGAGCTGCAGGAGCACCTGAATTCCTGCCAGCTCCAATCACTGCCCACCCATGGCACCAAACAAACAACACCAAACCCACCCCCCTGTTCCAGACACGGAGCTGTCTTTGAGGATTCTTGTTTTCTGTTCTCTCTGATTCCTTCCAGATCGCCTGAAAATCACTTTGTTGCTGTAAATGCTAAAATCACAGACTTGTAGAAGAGATCTGGCAATAATCTCCATAACTCATTCAGAGGGATGTTCACAAGACCTTCAAACATGAGTAGAGGCCCTGTAATATTGTATTTAGCCAAGTCTATCTCTGTGTTTCAGCCTGTCCGAAATATCCAATGTGAATTAGGCAACTGGCCCTGGTCTTAATTGATTTTCCTATAATCCTGGAAGAAATTATTTTCATTCTCAAATGTTTTCTTTCTGCTGATAGCAAGTACCGTGCAAATCTTTTAAAACTCCTCACATTAACTGCTGTGGAAATGTAATTGTTAATCTGTCCCCCAGATGTGATGTTTTCACTTGAACCTTTCAAAGCAGAGCATGAAAGTAAAGCGTGCAGCATTCAATTTGGAGCTTTGTGAAGGCAAGCAACACATTTCATATTTTATCCAGCTTTCTTAGGAAAGAGGATTTGCAGGAAAACAGGGGAGCTTCTCCCCTCCCAGTTGATGAAGTCCCAGAGGAGATGTGCACATAAGCAACTCCAGACCAGTGGGCAAAGCGTCATCATGCAGAACCTGTGAAGTCTCAGGCTCTGCAATAGAAGGTGTTCACTTTCTGCGCAGAATTTGGTCTTTCAACACTCTAGAATTTTTCTAAAATAAGATCTTAAATGTAACCCAGCTTACCTGAACCTCAAGGGAAACACTCGAGTCTTAATTTTAAGCCGTTACCTTTACACCTTGATTATTTTGGAAATAGTCAGACTTCCCATGCATGTATAAATTCCGCATTGATCCCTGATGTGCTCTGGCATTAACCCATCACCTGGCTGTGATTCCTGTGCTGCAGGGTGCCCCGAGGGGAGCTTTGGCCCGGGCTGTGAGTCCAGCTGCCAGTGCCAGCACGGAGCTGCCTGCGACCACGTCAGCGGAGCCTGCACCTGCACGGCGGGCTGGACAGGAACCTTTTGTGAAAGAGGTACTGCTGCTCCCCCTGGCCCCTTCAGGATTCAGGGAGAATTTGTTTTGGTTTTTGTTCAGAGAGCAGGTTTTACAACTGACAGCACTGGATCTAAATGAACCACTGAACTTTGTTGGAAGCCGATACTGAAATGTGAACTTCCCTCTCCTAACTCAGCAGAGCATCCTGCTGGGTGCCAAAGGCTGGGCACGTGTTTTCACGTGGATAAAATTAGATATATGCTTAAGGCTTCTGCTCTGTGAGTCTTTATGAAGACTCTTTTCAAGCAGAGTCCCCCTATTTGAGCACTGAGCAAGGAGAAGCTTGTTCAGCCTTATGCTTGCTTGTTTCCAGTGCCTCCCTGAAGTGATTTTGAGAAAAACATGGATGTGTACATCATCCCTGTGGAACTCTTTAAGAACAGATTCACTTCTAACTTAAATAAATCCAATTCTATTCTATCACTTAGTCATTTGGTAAAGTGTTGGACTGGATTATTTAGCTACATTATGGTGAGTCAGTCTGTGGCATTATCACAGGAGGTTGCTGTCATGCTGCATCATTTTGCAGGTTTTTTGTATAAAAAAATACAAGAGAAACAACACAGGGACATTCAGACACTGTGAAAGTTAAGTGTAGGTGATGGAAGATTCTTCAGATTATGGTATTTGAACCAAAGTCACAACTGTTTTGCATGGAAAGCAGCTTAATCAGCCAGTTTGAGCAGCGAGGATGGAGGGAAGTGACAGCACTTGCAGGCAGCTGCTGCCCTCTCATGGGAAGGAAGATGCTCCACAGCCTGACCAGGAATATGGCAAGGCACCCACAGGCTGGAGTTGACATTCCTTGTTATTGTTTCCCTCTCATGCTTATCAGGGACTATGATACAAAATAAAAATTCTTTCCAAGGTTCTGCTGCAAATTGCACCTCGCAATTCATGGTATCTCCACTATGTCCCTTTTTAATATAATTTAGCTGAAATCTGTTTGCCTAAATCTACTAAATCTGTTTTTTAATTATTGTATTTTTATTGTAAAAAAAAAAAAAATGAGGCAGCTGTCTGTGTTGTGTAAATCTCTTCATCTCAGCAGGAATTATCATGGGAACAAAGAGGCTAAACATCATTTGCCAGAATAGGTATGAGGAATATGGAGAAGACTGGGGGATTCTGTTGGTGGAAAAAAAAAAACAAATCTCAGCTTCCAAATCAGTCACGTTGGACATTTTTGTCTTTTTTTTTTATTTCTTGAAGGAGGTTTTTGGGGGGGGGGTTGAATTTCGGGGTTCCTTAAACCCCGTTTTTCCTTTTTTTTTTTTTCGGAAGGCAGAGTGTTTGCTCTCAGCTGACCCGGGTTACCTCTTAACTTAGGAAGTTTCAACCAGAACAGTTTGGCAGCTTCCAAAAGACGCCGAGGGAGGAGAACATGTGGGTGGCTTGCCCTTGGTAGAACCTTCTTGGCACCTTCTCTGGGAGGAGCTGCAGCGCTTCTGTTCCGAGTGCCTGGGAGACTGGCAGGGTTTCCTTCTGGCAGGGATGTGCTTTTTGCTGTCCTCTTGGCAATCCACCCACGTTGGCCAGGCTCTGTGCCTTGCAGGCAGAAATTCACATCGAGCCCTGGCTGCCTTGGACTTCAAACGTGCTGCTGATGCCTCAGCCCGTGGCTGGGAAGGGCTTCTCCATCATCACAGAGGTGCTGAGACTGAGACTTTTGCACCCTTCTAAGTCTGAGGTCCTGGGAGAAGACAATCCCTTACAAAATGTGATTTTGGTTGATATTAATAATTAATTTTACCCCTGCACAGTCAGGGTGTTTGGACCTGCAGTGGTTGCTTTTGGTATTTTGCATTGTGGCAGCACAGGATCTGAGACTGCAGAAATCCCAAAATTTGCCTTCAAATTTTTGGTTTTCATTTGGGGAAAGTTTCTTCCCATTTTGGTGGGAAGCTGTTGTTTATTTTCATTAATTTTCTGCCCTCAATATGAATTAAGGCTGCTGCAAAACACCACTTCAGTGACCATTTCCAAGCTTATTTGCCACAAATTTCCAAATCTCTCATCAATATTTGTTGGAATTATTAATGTAATCTTAGTCCTTGCTGAGTCTCTATTTATATCATCTCTCAGTAACACAGATAACAGCCAAAGCCACACCATCATCATCATCTTCATCACGCAGAAGCACAGGACAGTTTCCCAGCTCACTCCTAGCAAGAGACTTTTGCTCCAGGGCTGCTGTTTCATGAGACCTTTGCTGTGAATTATTCAGGAGCTGACTGAACTTCAGTGCCCTGAGCCACAGGATGCTGACAAAAGACCTCACACTCTTCAAAGTACTTTTGTCTGTCCATCAGCATCTCAGTTCTGCTCTGCCCTGAGTCACCTTTGATCAGCTGCTCTTCATCTGCTACCTCTCAGTGGTGCTGCTGCCTCTGCACTCGTGCTGTGGTCACATATAATAATGATGGGGAAGAATAAAGCTATCAAGACACTCTCTGAAAGAAAATTAGACGTTTCTGAAGGTGGTACATGCCTGCTCCATCTTTCAGCCCTGCTCAGTGTTTTGTGAAAATGAACCTTGTGACTCTTTCAAAGGAGTTTCAAAAGCAGCAAAACTGCTTCAGTTGCAGAGTAGGTAACGATTGCAAATAAGGCTGAAAACAAAATAATCTACAAAGAAATTATTTCAGTCTGTGAGAGCAATCTAGGAAAGGCTTCCTTTGAATTTTCTTGAAAGCAGCAAGCGATACAAGCAGAACACTGATGAAATAATGTATGTTTCTTCACAAGGTCTCGCAGTACCAAAGGAAAATGAATAATTTCTGGTGGATGCTGCTAGCAGTGCCACCAGCCAGCTTCCATGTGTGAGTGGAGAATGTTGTGTGCTTGGGCAGAAGGTGCCAGAGGGACACAGGGAGTTCTGGCTGCTCCTGACCTGAAGCAGCAGTCAGTGTCTCTGCATTCCTGGGCTCTGCAGGGGCAGGGATCACAAGGTGCCTTTGTAAGTCCTTTCTCAGCACAGACAACCTGAAATCTTCTCCAGAAAAAGTGCTTCTGTGTTCACCCACTGCTGCAGGGCTGGGGTTATAATGCAATTCCAGCTAAAGAGGCAAGGCAAAAAAAAAAAAACCCCAACCAAAAGAATCCCAACCCCAAAACCAGTCGTTATTGTGATAAATAGATAAATACATCAATGCTTACTCTAACTAAATGTAAGAATCTGCCATGCAAGAAGCCTGAGCCACGGGCTCCTGGTATATGCTGAATGACCCAAAGCTTGTCTCCAGTTTTGGGATCAGGCCAACAGAAGAATTATCCAGGTCATTGATTCATCTGTCCAAACATCCCAAAATACCAGACAATTAGTGCACTAACTGAAGGCAGAAGGAGTCTCAGAGCATTTCTACAATATATTTATTAATTGATGCATTAATAACAACAACATATCACATCACCCTGGTGGAACACCAAACTTGGCTCTTGCATCTGAACTGCTGTGGGATCAGCCCTGCCAGAGGATGGACAGACTGGACCCTTCCCTTGGAGTTTCAGAGGTTAATCATTACCCTAGGAGAGCCCAGCAGGATTGCTGCTTTGCTGAGATAAAAGGGGAAAGTGAGCACTAAGTGCATGTCGAGGAATAGCTGACAAGGCTGTGCAGCCCCTGTGTTAAAGAAGAACTTGGTCAGCCTTTGAAGTCACTGAGGGTTCAGAAGAACTTGGTCAGCCTTTGAAGTCACTGAGGGTTCAGAAGAACTTGGTCAGCCTTTGAAGTCACTGAGGGTTCAGCAGGAGGAGCCCATCCATGTCTGCTGCTGAAGCAGAGGGAATGGGGAATAACAGAATAACCCTCATTAAACCTCATCCTGGTGGCTCTTGTTGCACGTTGTTAGCTCCTCTCTTCTGCTGAGCACTGAGCAGAGGCTGCTGATGCTCCATTGCCATGAAGCCCTTTCTCTGTTCTCCTGAGGCAGCACAAACCTGGGAAGGGCAGCAAACCTCTCGTGTGCCAGGGAAGAAGCTGCAGCCTGGACAGGACAAAGGGAAGAGCAGCTTTTTGATTTTGAGTGGATGAAACAACCATGTGTAGTCACAAGCTGAGCAGCAGAGCAGCCACAGCAGATGTTCAGTGGTTTGCACTGTTGCTGGATGATGGTCCAGGTTTTCCTAAAGCTACAGATAGAGAATTCCCTCCACTTGTAGCCAGAGCAGCCAGCAGTGGCTGGAGAACTGAATTTGCATCTGTGAAAGAGGCAGTATCATTGACTTGGACAAAAAGCCTGGGCATGAAGAAGCCCTGGGCAAGAAAAGGGGCAGAAGAGTCCAAGAGTGGAAGATGCACACAGAGAACTCACTGGGAATGCTCAAGGCCAGGTTGGATGGGGCCTGGAGCAGCCTGGTCTAGTGGCAGATGATCTTTAAGGTCCCTTTCAGTGACACCAGTGTTAGTCTGTCCTGGTAGAGAGCTGTGAATTAGTGTGGAGGGTTGTTGGTCAGTGTTGATGGTGGCAGTCATTTTAAGTTCTCTTGGGAATCCAGTCACTCTGATTTCATGGTAGAAGTGTGAGGATTGGATTTTAAATAAAAGTTTATATTGAGCAAGGAGGACAAAGAGATAAGTTTTACTGAACTACTGCTTATTTTACTGAATTTACTGCTTATTTTACTGAATTACTGCTTATTTTGCGAGCACCATCACTCCTGAGATTGTTTCAGGGATTCTGTGGCAAGAATGATGCACAGTTGTGTATCTATAGATTTGTTATAACTTAGTGCAACATAATAGCCTGTACTGTGTGACATAATATACGCACTTAGACAATCTAAACACACATACAGAGGTTAAATTAAGGCTACATGGAGAATACATTTTTAAACTCTGCATAGCAGCCTTAGTGTTTTTGTAGTGCAGCATTTGGGGTGTGATATGGTCCACTGACAAGCACTGATCCTTATTTTCACTGCTGTCAGCCCTGGTACAGATAAAAACTGAATCCATGGGGTTGCTCTTCCTTAGTCCAGGTTCAGTTCCAGATGTAGGTGCAGAGCTTCTTCAGCTCCCTGGGGTTGTTTTGCTGTTTAATTTGTCTTGGTTTTCTCTGCTCATTTGCTTTGCCAGTTTTTCATTCCACCACTGATCTGCACTACTGTGGCTTTAGGTTCACTGTTAAAGAATCTTTAGAAAAGTGTCAGGACAGTAAATGGGAGAAGAAGTTTTGCATTTCCAGAGGGAGGGAGGTCAGCAGGGATGGCCCTGGAGTCCTGTGTTACATTGAATTATTTCCTCTGTCCATTACAGAGGCACAAGGAACAGCTTGTGTCAGCCCAGCTCCATTCTCTCACTTGTTTTATAGCTTTTCAATATTCTCAGCCCTATTTTCCTGTGCAGAAATCTGTTGCTTGTGTAAAAGGGTCACATTTTTCCAAGATGCACTGTAGCAGAGCTGGGCAGGCTTAACCCTTGATGGGACTTCAGTTCTTAAGCATCTGTGAAAAGACGAGACAGAGTTTATGCAAAAAAAAAGAAGTGTGCTAAAAAAGGAATGTTTTGCATTTCCAGCTTGTCCAGACGGATTCTTTGGGATTGACTGCCACCAGGTGTGCAAGTGCAAGAATGCTGCTGGCTGTGACCACGTTCTGGGCCTGTGCCACTGCCTGCCAGGCTGGCTGGGGGAGAGCTGCGAGCAGCGTACGTACACCCTGCTCCCACCCAAACCTCCTTGGTACTCCCTGCTCCCACCCAAACCTGCCCTGGTACTCCCTGCTCCCACCCAAACCTGCCCTGGTACACCCTGCTCCCACCCAAACCTGCCCTGGTACTCCCTGCTCCCACCCAAACCTGCCCTGGTACACCCTGCTCCCACCCAAACCTCCTTGGTACTCCCTGCTCCCACCCAAACCTCCTTGGTACTCCCTGCTCCCACCCAAACCTGCCCTGGTACTCCCTGCTCCCACCCAAACCTCCTTGGTACACCCTGCTCCCACCCAAACCTCCTTGGTACACCCTGCTCCCACCCCTGTGGCAAGCACATTTCTCTCCCTCTCAAGATTTTTCATAGAGGTGCACAGAAAGAAATGAAAGAGAAAACAATTTCTATTTCTGCTCCTTGTTTTTCCCATGTGGAATGTGTTTGGAGAATTGTTTCCCTGGGGTGATTCTTGGTTGGATTCTGGTGAGGATTGTTTGAGCCTGGTGGCCAATCCAACCCACCTGGGGCTGGACTCTCAGAGACGGTCACAAGTTGTGAGTTAGAGTCAGAGAAAGTAGTATGTAGTTTTAGAATCCTCCTTTTAAATAGTATATTAATGTATTTTAGCATAGTTATAATAAAGAAATAATTCAGCCTTCTGAATTGAGTCAGACATTGTCATTTCTTCCCATTGGGTTCACCTGCATTTACAAAACAAACCTCCTCTGGGAATGGGGCAATGCCCTGCCAGGCCACACTTCCATATAGATCACCTTCCCTTCCCAAATATGCCAAAAAAGGGAACAATTTTTGGTGGCTGTGTAAAATCACCACCTCTCTTCAATGTTTTTTCTTTCTGTAACTCGTCAAACATGATAAGCATCAGTTTTTAAATAGCAGAGCTGTCTCCTGCCATATGACAGCTCCCTGCTTTTTATTTTTGTGTGACATTAAGAGATTAAATGTTGTGTATCTGTTTCTGGTGTATCTCATCTAATTATCAATTGTGAAGTGTCAGATTACAAATGTGCAAATTGGAAAAATGAGAGCTGGGACTATTTTGTTATTTGAGCATGACAAAATAGTTTTTAAAATAGTTATTAGGAAAGTTATTTGTTTTAAAAATAAATTTCAGCTTCCCAGATGTTCACAAGTGTGGATTATCCCATAGTTTTTAAGCTAACAAAGTGCTTGTATGTATACATATATAAAATTGGCTATTCTGAGAATTTTTTCATTCCATTTCATGGGAAATTAGGTCATTTTCTTTAGCTGCATGGCATTACATATGGAAATCACTGAGCCTATTTGCAAAGTTTAGCAAATAAGTGGGCTTTTTTAAGTTTTTCAGGTTTTACCTTCTCAGCTTCCTTGTTTTCCTTTAGGATGATGTCATGGTCTAAGCTTCCTTTTGAAAATATGAGTGCTGTCTGCAGGACTGGGGTGTAGAGCTGGGCTGCAGGGCAGCTTCACAGCTCTGTGAGGGAACACTTCTTTAGTCCATAGGTCATGGCTTTCTGCAGTCGAAAAGTGGTTTAATTTAGAAAATAGAGAGCAATATGGCTTGTACTGAGGCAATGCTGTTCTTCAGCCATACACTTTTATCATCAGCCCTGTTTGAGGGCAGTGCTCACTCTTCATAATATTTTCCATCACCATTCAACACAGCCCATCTTCTGAGAAGGTTTCTCCTGCACAATCCCCTGCTCTTTTGTTTGCAGGTGGGTCAGTTCTGCTGAATCTCCCCCATTTTTGACACTTTTCCTCACATCCCACCACTGCAGTGTTTTCCCTCCTCGTGCCCTCCCACAGGAGCACTTGGCTCTCCACCTCCCACCACCTGGAGATGCTGGTGGTGGCACAGCTTTTGAGTGTAGATGAGTGGAGTGAGCACACAACAGAGGCAGAGCAGAGCCACCTTCCCATGCCACAGGTCAGAAGAGCTGCTGCTGAGCATGTTCAGTATTTGGTCCTTGTTCACAGCCTGTTTCTCCTGTCCAGCACTGGCAATGTGTCACCTTGCCCCTTCCCCAGTCCTTAGCATTAGGGATTGCTGCACATTTCATGAAATTCAATTAAGAGTTGCAGCTCCTTCTCTATGGCCTCTGGTGCCCTGCTTTACTCACATTAGGGAAAAAAATCCTATTTATTGTCTTGAGCCAGAGCCATTAGAACTTTGTGCTGGGCTGATTTATTCCTCCTGCTGGTGAAGGTGCCAAAGCCCCCGAGGCCTCCATGAGTGAGAGAGAGAGGTCGGCTCTCAGTGCAGGGTGTCTCCTCCTTTCCCCTTGGCTAAGTGAGGGATCTACATTTTGATTTTACACCTGGGCCTCATCCACGCTGCTCCAGAGCTGCTCAGACCATGGCAGCTCTGGGTGGGAGAGAGCTCAGCCCTTCCCATCCTCCCAGGGTGTTTAATATTCACCTTGCCTGTTCCTGGGACCCAGCAGCTCCAGCAGCTGGAAGGACAGCACTCGTGTGGAAGTAATCAGATTGCAGGCAATGTGCTGGAGGATATTGAGGAATAATTTTGGCATCATGGGATTTGAATTGATCCTAAGCCAGCCATGCAGTGAGTTTTATACTCTGCTATCTAATTACAGGCAGTAGGGACAGTGATGCCTTTTGTTGAAGCTGCCTAATGCTTTCCATTACCAGACCGTGGATTTCAGTTGTTTGAAAATGAATTATGTTAATCTGGGCTGAAATCTGCCAAGCAAGCTCTGCCTCAGCTTCAGTTTGTGCTTGGAGATTTTATTTGGGGATTTTTTTGAGTGTCCACCTGAGGTATTTTAGGTTTCCAAGAAAGAGGCTTAGGAAAAGTATGTTGCCTATTCTCTCTCTTTTTTGTCTGTTTGTTTGTTTAGATTTTGGTTGTTGTTGTTGTGTTGTTTTAATGAACTGTTTCACTGAGTGCAGTGATACCTCAGTGATACAGAAGTGAGGACCTGACATTTGGCATTTCTTTGTGATAGAGATGTAACTTTCCCGTTTGGATACTCCATCCCTGGAAGTGTTCAAGGCCAGGTTGGATGGAAGGAGCAACCTGATCATGACAGGGCATCCCTGATCATGACAGAGGTGTTGGAAATTGATGATCTTTAGGGCCCCTTCCAACCCAAACCGTTCTGATTCACTGCAAATTCATCCAAAGTTTGCAAACTTAAAAAAACCCAACCAAACTCTCCAAAAATCTCATACTGCATATGGTCTGTAGCAGATGTACACACTTCAACCTCTGAATCTTGCCTTAATTCTGTCAGTACTATACATGCCTCTTTCTGGAGCTGTTGGGAAGTGGCTTCTTGTGGTAAAAAAGAGACCACACTGGTTTGAAAAATAAATGACTACAGAAAAATTTGCTCAGCCAGAGGCACTGATAAGAGGGGTTTGACATTTCATGGTGTGTGAGCACTTGAATTTGCAGATTCCCTGTCCTTTTAAAGCTAAAGCTTCATTTTGTGGGGAATAATCCACAGAAGTAACTTGAAATCAAAGCTCCTGGACACCATGTAGAGCATTAGAGCCCATCACTTTCCTGTGCTCTTGGGCACTTTTGAATTTTGTTGACTTCTAGTCTGGAAGAAAAGTCTCCAGTTTCTTGTGTTCCTTACTCTGCATGCAAAAAGGTATTTTAAAGACTGCAAACAAATAAATCCTCCTCTTGCAGAGGAAAGATACCAAGAGGAAAATTTTGAACCAGGAAGAAATCTATTAATTTAAACTTTTGGATTAAGTTATCTCTCTTCTCTCATCATGAAGAAAGGAAAGGCCCAGGGGTATGTGTACATTCAGTTGTGGAACTCCACCAAATAGTTTCAGTATATCACTTTTTCCCTAAATCTTCAGAAAAGTACTTTGAAAATCAAGATTATCCCACCAGGAAGCAAAGCAACATTTGTGTCTACCCAGTAGAATAGTCAAAATTTTCTTCTCCACAATTTTTTGCATTCTTATCAGAATTTTCACTGAAACGCCCTATTGTCTTTTTGGTAAGTGTAACAAGAGCTTTGCACATACACTCCATAAACCTCCCTCAAACCACTGGTAACCAGTCAGGAGATCTGGTGATGAGCTGGTTTTTCCTTTGGCTTGGTTGTGCTATAGTTCTGTTCTGTATTGTGGAAATATTTAGTTCTGCTCCCAGAACCCGAGCCAGAGCTCTGTAGATGTGCTGAACTTTTCACTTGGCAACCAAGCTTCATTTGCAGAACAAACTTTTAGCTGTGATGGGATTGAGCTCCTGCTCTTTCTTGTGGTTTCAACATGGATGGGCTCCAAGTGATGACAAGAACAAGCAATGTAGAAAAGAAGTCCTGGGAGAAATGGTGTCTGAGAACCAGGCTGGGAAGCTGGAAGCCTTTCTCAGATGGGGAAAAAAGGGCTGAAAATGGGTCAGAGACTGTCAACCAAGTTCCCTTCCAAGATCAAGGTGGTTTCACACCTCCCTTCTATCCCCAGGGACTTGCTCTCCCACAGCACTGCACCATGTTCACTGACACCCTGCAAGGCAGAGAAGTTTGAGTGAAAATTCACTATTTGGCTGTGAAACCTGGAAGATGTCACATTCAGCAAGTGCAAGACACTCTCCTGGATCAGGGATCCAGGCTTTCTTTGCCTCTCCAGTGCAAGCCAGAGGTGCTGCAGGGATGAGAGGCTCTGACAGGAGCTCCTGCAGTGCAGAGCAAAAACTGTGCAAGGAGGCGATGCAGCTCCATCAACCCCCTTTGTATTATTTTGGGTGATACCTGAAGAAAACAGGGGAGCAGAACTGTCTGTTCTCCACCATTCAAAGCTGTCCAAATCTCCAGAGCAGTGGAGACTGCAGGAATTTTATCACTGCCATTTTTCACGGGCAGCAGCACTGAATGCAGAGCGTTTGCTTGCCAGATGACTGCGCTGAGTTTTCACCTGGGAGCCAGCAGCTTAACCAAACTCACTGAAAATATCACCCCTCTCTGACCAAAGAATGAGAGTCTGGGTGAGCAGAGGCACCCAGCTGTGCAAAATGAACACTGAAAACAATGAAGTTGTCAGTTCTCTTACCAGGATGCAAATAAATACCGGTGCTGTCAGGCTGCTGGTTCTGCTGGGCCATTAGTTTAGCACAAAGACATTCTGCAGAGCAGGGGATGGCAGCTGATCCATCACCCCCAGTGAACCAGCCCCTCCATAGAAACCTCTGCAGAATGGGCTGTGAGACATATTTTTAACCCACATTATTAGGTTAGGCTTTCATAAGACACATTATCTCTAAACTGCGAGTGTTGCAGAGCAATTGCACTTTGTGTGATCTTAATTTGAAGAATTTTTTTTTTTTAAATGCCTTTTTCAGTTTATGTGTTGGCTGCTAATGTGGACTTAGCAGTGCTGAGTTAACAGTTGAACATGATGATGTTAAAATTCTTTACAAACCTAAATGATTCTATTATTGTTTCTAGAGTTAGACATGGTTAATATATGGGGTTTTAGATATATATATATATATATATGTATTTCCAGGGATGGTGAAGTCATCATTCCTTGAAATGTTCAAAAAACAAGTAGACACAGCACTTTGTGATTTGGTTTAAGGATCATGTTATTTGGCCAAATAGTGGCCTGATGATCTTGAAGAACTTTTAATATTCTATGATTTTATATGGACTTAGGCACCCTTATGATGTGAAAAGCGTCATCGGAGCACAGCTCCAACCTGATTTCCCTGTTCCTTGGACACTTCCTGATGGGGTTTTATGGAATTCTGTCGTTGCAGCCTGCCAGGGGAGCAGCTACGGGCCGGGCTGCAGGAACACTTGTCACTGTCACAACGGAGCTCTGTGTCACCACGTCACCGGGGCGTGCCTCTGCAGCCCGGGCTGGAAAGGAGCCACCTGCCAAGAAGGTACAGTTGGAAATTCAACCCCCTACCTGTGGATTAAAGCAGGGAAAAATAAAACCCTTTTCTGGGGAAAGCCCGCTGGTATTTTAGCTCTCAGCTCGTTGCCCTGAGTTGTCTCTGGGTTTGGATCTGCAGTGACGTGAGTTGGTCCATTAAATTAATCCGTGGCACTGTGCTGTAGGATCCCAGTGTGCACGAGGCAGAGGGGGGAAACAGCCATAAACTGGGAAGAGAGCTGATTTTGAAGGCTGATGAAGGGAGAAAAGGTCCATAAAACTCCCAGTTATGATGCTGAAATGAAGCTCTGTTTCTTTTCTATGGGCTGCTTTACTGTCCCATGCACCAGACTGATCCTTGGCATTACCTTGTGCTGTTCCAGACAGAGCCTAAATCCAGAACATGTGAAAGGCATTGAGCCTTCCAGCCTTGGCAATCAGAGCCGTACAAGAGGCTTAAGCCCAGCTCCACAGAGCCTTAAGAAGAGGCTGGCAAAGAAAGGCTGCACTGTGGCTTGCATTGCACATCCTAATCCATGCAGCCCAGGCAGTGGGAAAAGTCTGTCCATCCCCCTTGCAGAGCCTCCTTGTTCTGTGCCTTCCCCACGAGGTCCCTGGGGTGGCAGCACTGCCATGGAGCTGGGAATGCTGCTGTGGGTGCTCCTGGGTGAGCTGGGATTTGGAGTCAGCACCTCCTCTCTGACTCTGCCCTTCAGCATCCCAAGGGGATTGTTAGGGAAAAGGGATGAAAGCTGGCAGGGGTAGAGTGATATTCAAATTTAGCACATTCCCCTTTTAAAACTTGATATGAAGACAGCTTTCCTGAAGGATTTAAAAATTGGGAAGGCACCCAACTGTTCTTGATGACGTACCTATTTTTTGTTTTGTTTAAAAGCCACAAATACAAAACCAAAATGAAAGTTACAAAAGCTATTTCAGACACACCTTTTCTATTTAAATACATGTTTGGGGATTTCTTTTATCTTTGAAGCGATAAGGTAGAATGATTGTGTGAGGCTTGGGGAGCCATCCTCTGGTGCCTGTGCTTTTCCAAAGTGACAGCTTGCCCCTCTTTCCATCTTAAAGAGGTATCACTCCGGCACATGGCAGAGGTGTGTGGTTTTTTTTCCAAAAAGTTAGGCTCTATCCATAGAAACTGGTTGTGGTAGGAATTAATAGACTTCCCTAAATAAAATTAGGTAAATGGTGAAATGTCATCAGCTAGATGTGTGCAGCAGGATCAGTTAGAGAAGGAACTGTGATTTTAAGAGGAGTGTACAAAGAAATTCTGAGAACAGGGATATCAAGAACTGCACTCCCCAGTGTTGAGAAAGCTGGAAGGGACAAAAAAATGGGTTTTGTAGGTATAAACAGAAAGTCTCAAGGTTATTTGGTGAGCCACTAATTCACTTCATCACCTTCTTTGTTCCAAGACCAGCTTTACAATGATCAGAGTAATTCCTTAGTGGTTGCATCCCCAATTCTGCTTGGTTGTACCTCCCACAGCATCTCCCAGGGCAGAAGGGCTGTAAGGTGGGACAGGGGGTGTTGGCCCTGTGTCCTTCTCCTGTCTGCCAGACCGATCTGTGTCTCTGGGACCCGGACTGGTTACAGACTCAGGATTTCTTATCTGACTGTGTCATACGAGTAAAAAGCAAGAGACACAGAGAAAATAACAACATCCATGCAAATCCAGATCAGAGACAAGATGGCAGCTTATGCAAAGCCTTTTTCTACATATTCTTTGAACCAACAGCATAAAAGAAAAGGTGTAAAGTCGTTATACTCTAACCAATAAGAAAAGGACCCACGTGGGTTTAACATAAACAAAAGGACTTCTATGAACCTCAAACAATACACAATAATTCTTTATATAAGATTGAAAACTTTCTCTGTCTTTGCAAAGTATATCTCTAGGATTTTTCACATCTCGAACTACCAATAAGTTCTTGTTCTTTCTTGTTCCTTATGATAAATAGAAATGTATTCACTTGGTTCTTACTTTCCTGGCTTCCCATGAGAAGGTTTTGAAATTTCCCAGCCTTTTTCAGCTTTATGTCTACTTTCTGGGGCCTTTTTGCACTTTCCTAAAGTCTTTTACCTTTTACATTCCTACCCTCCTGCACTTCCTGATGGAAGGTTTCCCCTTGGCAGCCTGTCCCCGCGGGTGGTACGGAGCAAACTGCCAGCAGCGCTGCCTCTGCCACGGCCAGGCCACCTGTGACCCTGCCAGCGGCCAGTGCCAGTGTCCCCAGGGCTGGACGGGGACAGCCTGTGAGCTGGGTGAGTCCCACCACCCCCTCCAGCCTCCAGCACCTCGTTCAGGCACTCTGGAAGGGAGCTCAGTTGTGCCAGTTTGAGATGAGCCGGAGGAAAAAGGGTGGAAAACACCAGGCGGGGAGGTGTTGTTGTAGGACACGTGAAAATATGATGTAAGTTGCTGCTATTGCAAGGTGAAAAAGAGAGAGTTTATTTTCTGAGTCCAGCATTTATACTTTTTTAAAGGTAACAGTGGATTGGAGGGTGAAGATGCCACCTCTCCAATGACATTGGACAAACTACTAGTACATCAAGTTTTTCCACCTCTATGAAGGAATGCAAAACAATAGGTTGTTTACAGAAAGTTGTGTGAGAAAGTTCTCCAACGAAACGTAAACTTAGAAAGCTTTAGAAAATCTTAAAAATCAGGGCGACAGGGAGGAGTTAAAAAATCTGGGGTTATTTAGTGAGAAATGAGAATGTTGTGGGGAGACATGATATTGGTACTTGAACATATCCATGGTGCTGGAAACTTGTTGGGCAGAGAAAAGCTGGGAACAGGGAAGATAGGTAGTGAGCTCCATTTAAGGACAAAGAAAGAAGTGCTAAAAGAAGAAAATGGTGCATTTCTATGGAATTTTGCCAAAGGAGGCTTCAAAATTTCCTTCACTGAAGGTTTTTAGGCCCAGTTTGGGTGGCTCATCATATTGCAGAGGCATGAGGGAGTTTCTGCTGGGGTTGCTCCAGCCTGGCTCCCCATCAGCCTCCCCCATCCTGTTTCAGAGTGTGGGGACGGGCAGTTTGGAGAGGGCTGTGAGCAGAACTGCAGCTGCCACCACGGGGTGTGTGACCAGCCCTCAGGGAAGTGCCTCTGCCACGCTGGCTGGACTGGGGACCGCTGTGATGTTGGTAAGGGCAGCTCCTTCTGCAAATCCTTCATTTGAACCATCAGCCATTCCTGCCAGTTTTCTCTTTTCTGTCTTAGATTTCCAGTATTCTGCAGGCCAGACAGGATTTATGCACTCTCACCCCATCTCAGGCCCACAGGCAGCTCTCTGCCCAGCCATGCCCTTGTCCAAATCATTTTATCTCCTCCTACCCCTGTTCCCTGCCTGCTTAAGAAAATGAAGGTATTTCTCTACCTTTCACACACAAGGAAGAGCACAGGAAAGGGAGGGAGTTTTAAGGAGAATTTGCCAGATCTGCCCCCTGCTGCTGGGTCTCCGTGGGTCATTGAGGGGAGCTCAGCAAACTGGACTGATGGTTCAGATAGTTCAGATGTGGCACACGACCCAGACTCGACACAGCTCTTTGGCATGCTTAGAGCCATTTGAATCCCTGAAACAGGGACTAAATCTCATACACAGGTGACTCAAAACATGATTTCAGCTCAGCCACTATGGTGCTGTGCTTTTAGCAAGTCACAGGCAGCTTTCTGAGGTCTCCTGGGGTGTTGAGGACTCACAAAGCCTCATCCACCAGAACAACCTGCCCAGCTCCTTTTCCCTTTGGTCACTTTGCAGGGACCTGGGAAGTGGAAGCAGTTCATGGGCACAGTCCCCACTGCTCAAACAGCTGTCCCTGTGTGCATATTGTGTCACAGCAAACAGCATCACCCTCTCCTTGGACCTCTTTGGATTTTCACTCCAGGCTGTGACTCAGTCTTTGCAGCTTTCCTGTGCAGACTCACTAGCAGCCAGCGTTAAATGCTTCTAATATTTTTAATATCTTCACTGATATTTTCTGGCCACGCAGCCTGCTAAATATCCTCCTGAGCAGGAGCCCAGGCAGGGAGGATCCTGGCTGGGGGCCAGCGGAGGCTGCTCCCCAGGCAGCAGGTTGTGGGAAGCAGGACTCCTGTACCATTAACCAATATGATTAAGGAGAAGCCATTCATTGTTGACATTTTACCCTACTTATATTGTAAATGCAGGCGAACCCAATGGGAAGAAATGACAATGTCTGACTCAATTCAGAAGGCTGAATTATTTCTTTGTTATAACTATGCTAAAATACATTAATATACTATTTAAAAGGAGGATATTAAAACTACATACTACTTTCTCTGACTCTAACACAACTCGTGCCCCTCTCTGAGAGTCCAGCCCCAGGTGGGTTGGATTGACCACTAGGCTCAAACAATCCTCACCAGAATCCAACCAAGCACTCACTCCAGGGAAACAATTCTCCAAACACATTCCACATGGGAAAAACAAGGAGCAGAAAGAGAAATTGTTTTCTCTTTCATTTCTCTCTGTGCACCTCTATGAAAAAATCCTGAGAGGGAGAGAAATGTGCTTGCCACATACTTATACATTCTACAAACTACTGCCCATGCTAATTGCCCACTTCTTGATTGGTGCTTCTATCTTGTCCATGCATTCTGCATGCACTTCTCAGAGTATGTGATTGGTTCCAGTCCAGGTGCTTCACAGTGCTCTGTTATCTAGTTCTTGCAGTTTTGGTGTTCTGTTTCTCAGCCTCTTCTTCCTCGATTTAGCACAATTTACATCTTAGTGACCCTGAGGAATCCCTGAGGGTGCCGATAAGAACAGCTAGAAGCAGCCTGGCTGGAGCAGACTGTGGCCTAAGCCTTGCCAGCACATTGCTGCAGCAGGTTCCGCATTTGGAACGTTTGACTTTCAGGTTCCCATACCGACTTCCACGTGAAGTGGAGCGGCTGTGTCTGATTTGTGTTTGGCGTTGCTCTCTCTGCTCGCCCCCAGCCTGCCCCCCGGGATTTTTTGGCCGGCGCTGCGAGGAGCGGTGTGACTGCGCCCACGGCTGGTCCTGCCACCCCCAGACCGGCGCGTGCCGCTGCCAGAGCGGCTGGCGAGGGAGGCACTGTGACAAACGTGAGTGGCTGGGACACACCCGAGTGGGGCAGCAGCTCGGGCCGGGGACCGTGGCCCCCCAAGCCCAGAGCTCTCGGCCCGCGCTGGGCATTCTCGCACCCTCCTTCTGCAGGCGGTGCTCGCATGGAGCGGGTGGAGATTTTGGGGGGTTTTTGGTTAAGGTTGGGTGGGGTTAAGTGTGTGAGATGGTGTTTCTTGTTTGGATTTAGGTATCTGTGAGGTTTTATTTATATTATAGTTTTACAAACCGTGAGGTTTATAGGAGTTTATTTTAATAAGTTAAAAGTGGAGTTGTATTTTTTTTTTGGTAAGGTTTTTTAAGGATAGACTGTCTTAATTAAGAAATGATACTTATTTTTATTTTTAGCTTAATAACTAACCACTTGTGATTTGTAATGTGCACTTTTTTATCTAATTACATAATACTGCCCAAAACCCATGAAGAAGAAAGTGAAGAAGAAGGACTGGTTTCCACCCTAAAACCTCTATCTTGCTTTATGTGTATTACTATATTCTAAATATATAGATTATATATATATTGTTATATAATGGATATAGATATAGATATAGATATAGATAGATATAGATATAGATATAGATATAGATATAGATAGATATAGATATATAGATATAGATATAGATATAGATATAGATATAGATATAGATATAGATATAGATATAGATATAAATAGATTTATTCTATATAGATATATAGATAGATATAGATAAATATGGATAGAAAACTATCTTGATTTATGTATATTACTATATTCTAAATATATAGATTATATATATCATTATATAACAGATCTAGATCTAGATATAGATCTAGATATAGATATATAAAGATATAAAAATAGATTGATTCTATATAGATAGATATAGATAGATATGGATATAAAACCTCTATCTTGCTTATGTATATTACTGTATTCTAAATATATAGATTATATATATTATTATTTAATAGATATAAATATAAAAATTTTATATAGGTATATAGATAGATATAGATAGATGTGACATAGATATAGATCGATACAGATATAAAAATAGATATAGATATAATAAAAATAGTATTATATATTAATATATGTTAATATATATTATTATTTATATATAATATATATAATATATTAAAATATATATAATAAATATATATAAATATCTAAATAATATAAATATAAAAATCTATATAAAAATACATACATAAATTAGATATATCTATAGAAATAGGTATATCTATATATAGACATATAAAAATATATATTCTATATATACTGTATTCTAAATATATTCTACACTATATATATTCCTGTATTCTAAAACTTTATATCTTAAAACTTTAAGCTCTGGGCTTTCCACCCAGCGATACCACACCCTTCTATTCAAATTTCACACTCATAAACCCAGTTCCACCATTCTGGAAGGCGCTCTGGAAGCGTTCTCCAGGTGCAAGGCCGCGGGGCCCTGGGTGTGTGGGTGGGCAGGGTTGTGGCAGGTGCCCGTGTCCCGTTATCCCGTCGCTGACCGTTCTGTCCCGCAGCCTGCCCGCCCGGCCGCTACGGCGCGGGGTGCGCGCACCGCTGCCGCTGCCCCGCCGCGCGGCCCTGCCACCGCCTGACGGGCGCCTGCCGATGCCCCCCGGGACTCGCCGGCCACGGCTGCCACAAGAGTGAGTTCCTCGCCACAGCTTCCCTGCTCAGCGCGCTCAGAAAGGGATTTATGGACTCAGGACGTGGCGGTGCGGTGCCTGGAGAGGGGGGAGACGGCAAGCTGGCGGGTGGGAAGATGGCCAAGGGGTGGTTGGTCCTTGCCCAAGGTGGTTTGGCCAGCTCTGAGCTCTGTGCCAGCGCAGTTTGGGCTGCTGGGGTTTGGCCTCTCTGTGTTTGCAGCTGTTGGGCAGCCGGGGGCTGAACTGGACCCAAATTGGCTGAGGATGTGCCAGTGGAGCTCTGCCCTGCCCACAGCCAGCTTCTGTTGGCCTTGTCCCTGTGCTAGGCTATCTATTCCTGCTCCCAGAGCTCATGGAAAGGATATTTTCTGGCTCTTCTTAGCATGGAGTTTGGTCCCGCAGAGCAGTCTTTGGAAGCAGGCTCCTGCTCTGACCCCAGCTGCAACACCCTGATTTTGTTCCTCCCTACAAAACTTTGCCTGAGCCCTGTTTTAGCCAAAGGAGAACCAGCAATAAATAAGAATTGAAAGAACTGACATCGGTGTCCATTATCCTCCACCAGAGGACTCTAAATGCTGACCCACAACCAGGGCAGCTAGATGGAAATAAGATGTAAAAATTAAATGTGGAAGGTCCAAAACCTGTAGGCAATGTGGCTGTCAGCAGGCAGAATGAAACCTGTTGATGTTTCAGCAGCTTTGCAAGTCTAAACTCTCTGCAAAAGGTAGAATGTCTCTATCCACACGCCTGGTCCCTTGGGAATTATACTGTTATTTTAGTCAATTTCACCTGACATTTCCCTATGATTTTTTTTCTAGTGACAAGAAAATTGTATCTGGCCCTTGACAGTTGGGCACAAATTGACTGAACAAAACAAAATCAAGCATTCAAGTAACCCCCAAGTAAATGTAATAAATCCAAAGTCCCGGAGGAGAGCGTCATTCCGTAGGCAGGGATTTTATTTAATAAATTTCAGCCCGCTCTTTGTTTGAGCGCTGTAATTACCAAGACAAATTTAATTTATTGGTTTGCATTTCTTCTTCCCAAAGCTTGTCCAGTGGGCACGTATGGGCAGGACTGTCAAGGAGTGTGCCAGTGCTCTGCTGAGAATCAGGAATGTCACCCTGTCACCGGCCACTGCTCCTGCAGCCCGGGCTACCATGGGGCCCACTGCCACCTCCGTGAGTATTTTTGGGGTTTGCTGCCTTTCTGACAGAGAGCATCTGCTGGAACTTTGGGTTCTTCTGTGTCATTACAGCGGTGAGAGAAATAGAGGCTAATTATACTATAAAAGTTATGGTATTACAAATAAGTTATAGTAGAAGAAGTAAGCGTAGGGTGGGTTAATTTACACTAAAGAAAAGTAGTACTATTGCAAGTACTTAATTTAATTTTTTTAAAATAAAAAAAATCTAAAAAAATTCATTGATAATGTTAGCTCAAAAATGTAATTAATTCAATCCTTCAAATTAATTTTTAAACCCACCAGATTTACCTGCTAAATTCTTTCCAACCTCATGCCACGTTAAAGAATGTAAAGATCATTCTCTGCATTGCCTCTCTCAGCTACACCTGGATTTTGTGCAGCTCTCTCATTTCCAAATACCAAGTCCAAAATACTTCCCGAAATCTCTGCGTGCTCAAGTAAGGACAAATGGTTATGAGAAAACAACAAGCTGAAATTGGCAATAAATCCAAGTGATTCATAAAGTCCTTTCAGTTACAGAGCCTTCTGAGGAACAATCAAATTAAACCAACTGTTACTCTGGATTGAAAAATGGTGACTAGTGTAGAGGACAAAATGCCAATTGGCCCAATGCTCCATCATAAAAAATATTCCCAGATCCACATGGCTCATGCCGGTATTTTAGGACATCTGTAAAGTTGTTTTTGGTGGAATGTGGCAACTGATAAGAAACATATACCAAAGCAGCCAATAAAGGAGACAGTTAATTACCTTTTTATTTACAACTTTAATTTTGGTTTTACTCCACGGCTTGTAATAGTATCATTTAGAGGAGAAAAAAAGGGAAGAAAAAATAAAAAGCTGTTGTCTTTCTTGCTCAGTTTTTTTCTCTCTTTGGCGAGTGCTGATTTTCCTTTCTTGGGAATCCAGCACAGCTCTTTTTGGCTTAATTACCTTTTGGGGTGACAGTTTGGATACAAAAGCCAGCTGTCACATGCACAGCCCCAGTAAGGGTTAAACTACTGTTTTATTCCTTGAGCAGAAATAGGAGAAAGACTCGCTTTGGAGATGGGTCTTTGTATTGCCATCATGTAATCACAAGTTATTCTTTAAAATATAAATTATAAATAAAATAGAAAGGATTGATTCTGTCCTCCTCTGTGCATCGGTTTTTGCTGTAAGTGAGATCGAAATCTGGCCTTCAGCACTGGGGCTGGAGCCATCTGGATCCATTATACATTAGATTGTAATAAATGTTGTAGGAGAGCAGTAGTGGAGATCAACTATTTAACAGGAGCATTTTAAAAGACTTAATCATGGTCAGCCTATTACCTTTATGTAGCATTTTCTCAGTATTCAATGCCTGTGTCTGTATAGCACTAAAACCTCTCATTACAGTAAATGTCCTCAAACTTACTTAGATATTTCAGGTTTCATTTCGGAATTTTAAAATTTAAAGCTTAAACAATTACACTGAAGTTCTGATGGTAAAGATATAAAAAGACAAAAAGACTCATTGTAAAAGAAAATTAGTTTTGTTGCATTCAGGGGGGATTTTTGCCATGGATTTTTGTGTAGCTGGGATTAAACCTAAAGCACACGAGATTTGAGATTTCATGGTGTTTTGTACTCTGAGATTCCAAAAATGTACAGCAAATTCTTTAACACGGGTTTGTTAGATATTTATTGGAGAAATAATGAAATTATGGAAGTTCACAGAAAAACACTCATCTATGTTGGTGTTGTTCCTATTGTCCCCTGTGCCACTTGTAGACAGACACAAAAAATAGAAGGAAAACAATTAATTGTGCGTTGTTTTAAGTTCAGGTCAGTGGAGGGAGACATTGTGGGCCTGATTCTGAAGTGGCTGGCTGAAAAGCAAGGATGGCTCACTTGACTTTGGTGGGAATACTCCAAGTTCCTGCTGCTCTGCCTGCAGGGAAGGCTGGGGCTGCTCCAGGGCGAAGAAGCTCCCGACAGAATATTAAACCAGCACAGGGAGCCGCTCCCAAACGGGCTCTGCTCCAGTCAACATGTGGTTGGATGCTGCTGGAAACAGTTTCTGGCAACTGTTGCTGTATTTATGAAAAAAAGATTCAAGAAAGTATCTATAAAAGGTGTAGCTGGCTGGGAAGTCAAATTTCCAGGAGCCAAGAGCAACGGGGCTTTCATGTTCACAAATTTTGGAGTGAGGAGCTGAAAAAGTCTCTTGGCATGGTGTAGAGGAAGCAGACAAACTAGCAATAAGGTTCCCATCACTTGTCCATAATGTGGTGGATGGGCAGATCTACTTGTTAAAAGGAGTAAAAAGCAGTAAGTGATGGTGAAATTATTATTTTTTTTTTAAAAAGCACGGTATGTTTCTGTGACATTGACTGGGTTGGGAGTAGCCAGAGCCAGAAAGATCTCAACAGCTTCACCTTCAAGCTGTAGGTGACAGGATGTGTCAGAAGGGATTATTTGACAATGTGATTTAATAGCATTGGTCAGAAAAGCCTCAGTGTGTGCAATTGCTATGGAAAGATTTAGGAGCTCTTGGTCATGACAAATCCACTCAAAGCAGAAGGAAAATCAGGAAATGAGGTGGAAATCTGGCTGCCACTCTTTTGTTCGCAAAAAAAAACGTAAGTCAGAGGCACGGGAAACTGTTAAATTAGAAAATGTCTTTATGAGATAACTGGTGGTGCAAGAAAAGCCCTCTGTGCAAAGGCAGAGCCTACTGAAATGGTGGGACATGGTGCAAATTGCCCTCGTTACCTGCATCAAAATTCTTCTGCAAAGTACTAACAGATGAGGTGGCCTTGTTATGGAGCATGTGCACAGTGCAGCAGCTGAACATGCCCAGCTTGTGCTGCTCCTTCTCGAGCCAAAATACAGAAAATACTGCAAATGGGAAAGGAGGGAATTACTGCATCCCGTTCAGTAATGGAGCAACTACAGCTAGTCTTGAGCTAAGGAATAGCTCTGAAAGCCTTGCCAGGGAGAAGCAGCATCTTTTGGAGTCTGGGAATTTTTTAAAATATTTTTTAAAAAGGAGAATTTTTTTTTTTTTTTTTTTTTAAAGGAGAAAATCCAGATTACCAAAAGGAAAAGAAAGAGGAAAAGAGAAACTCACCAAATCATTGAATCTGAATGAGTCCTTGACTTCAAGTCTTGGTGGGAATGAAGGGGGTGTTGCAGGGCTCACTCCTTGATGCCAGGGCTTGCACGTGAAACAGATTTTGAATCCTGGCAGATGGAAGCACTGATGACAGAGTGTTCATTGAGAAGAATCTGTGTTTGAGAAGGGCTGGGGAGAGTATCTGCATGTTATAAAAGTGTATCTGCTTAGTCCTGATGATCTGCTATCCTGGTTTGAGCAGAAGCCAACGTTCAGTTTTATTTTCAAAGGCACCCCTTCAAAGCTTTCCCATAAGCTCTCCCTCACTATTGAATAGTTCAGAAAAGCCAGAGATTTCTCCAGCCACTCAGGCCCTGCTTTCGTGCCTTTAGGAGAGACAGAATACATGAAGTTATTTATGCACAGATTGCAAGGGATCTGTTGCTTGGAGACGTGAGCAAATATATTTTCAACCAGGTTTCTAAAGTAGCCATGGACTTTCCTTCTGCCAGACAAGAGAAAGAAGGGTGAGCAAAGAAATGTCATTTGGAGGCAGTAGCACAAGTGGAACTGTTGGATGATGATCATGCTGCTCGAGCACCAGCTACTCCTTCTGGGAAATTAGGAGAATAACGTGCATCTCTGGAGCTCAGAGCTGGCACACTGGGGGTTCAATGGTGCCCATGCTCAGCAGCTCTGCCCAGCTCTTCCCCTCGGTTCCAACCTCCATCACGAAAGATCATCCAGAAGATGTTAACTAAGCATGGCAAATGCATTTACATCTTTCTGATCCTTTGTTCGATTCTCCTGGAACATTAGCTATCCCAAAAAGAAATCAGAAATCCTCATTACTACGTGGAAAACCTCTCCAGTGTTGCCATGTAACACTGCCTCAGTAATCCATCCAGTCTTACAAAATGCAGATGCTTTTTTTTTTCCTCAGAGAATTTTCTGTCTTTGCATTTAAATAATGTTCCTCCCATATCTATCTTCTGAGGAGGTGTCTTCTGAAATTCTGTGTTGCTGTCATGTGCACATTTTCATGGTCTTCCATGCACAGGGTGGGAAGGGAAGTTAAAGCCCATTCAGTTCCACTATCTCAGGTGGCTCCAACCTGGCCTTGGACATTTCCAGGGATGGAGAATCCACAGCCTCTCAGGGCAACCACTAACAATGCCAGCTCCAGTTTGCAGGGAAGGAATAGATTATAAAGGAAACAAACTTTCTCCAAGTTACACGTTTTAAGAAGACGTGACCCACCCTAGATCCATGAAACAGCTGCTAAAAGAGGCAGAAATGGCTCACAGCTTCTCACTGACCTGGACAAACCAGGTGGCTGCTGCCCAAAGGAAGAGGGAGAATGACCCCATCTCTCCTGTGTAGAGGGAAAGAGGGAATACATTCATTTGGAGCAGAAATCCCAAGAGGAAAATCTCTGTAGAACAAGGCTTGTTTTTCTTGCTGCTGTCACATAAGGGGAATGGGAGAGCACAGAGCCAGGAGCAGCAGCACTCAGTCCAGCTCCCCAGCATTTGACATTTCAATCATTGCTGTCCCAAGGGCATGTTGTCCAGAGGAGCCATCTGCTCCTCAGTGCCTACTACTGGCCCACTGGAAGTGAATAACATTAGAAAATGAAAATCAAACTTTGAAAGCAACAAAGTGCTTAAGACATGAAATGCAACAGGCCCAGTAGCAACCTAACCTAATTGCTGGCTATTTTTTTTTCTTAAACAGGGTGTCCAGAAGGTACTTATGGTTCAAACTGCCAAAATCCCTGTAAATGCATGAACGGAGGCCACTGTGACCCCGCGTCGGGAGCTTGTGATTGCGCTCCCGGATTCATCGGAGCCAACTGCAGCAAAAGTAAGCCAACATTCATGTTCTGCTTCTGTCAAAACACAGCAGAGAGAATCATTTGCATAAGAGCTTGTCTGAAGAAAAACAGACAGATCTCAGCTACCTCTTCCTTGAATTGTAAATCAGGATTCCAGCTTTGTAAAAAAATCTCTTGCAAAATATTTTCCCTCGCTGCTGCATGCATAGAAGCAAGGACACTTACCCCAGGATTGCAACCTGCTTGCCCAAGATTATTTCTAGAGCCAGCTCAGCATGAATTGCTCAAATTCCTTCTTCCTGTCCAAAATTTTGAGGTTGAGAAATTATCTCAATATTTTGCTTCACACTATGGTGCCATTATTTTCAATAAATGGGAAAAAAATCAAGTTTTGTCATGGCAAAACTGGTAAGTACTCCATGGCAACCCTACTGTTACTTCTCTGTTTCAGAGCTAAATGGTGTGGCTGGATTTCTGTGCTGCTTCCAAAGCTCTGGTCTCTGTGAAGTTCTCTTCCGTTTATTCACAGAAAGGCAATGTTTGAATGTTTGGTTGCCCATAGCTTTGCTCTTCATTGTTGGGCAGCATCAATATTGAGGGAAAGATGTTTTAAGCTGGAAGGATGAGCAGCTGATATTTCAGTCATACATTCACTCTTCTGATGGGAAAGACAGTAAATATTCCATGTGAAATCATGGGTTATATTTATAATCACAAGTAGTCTCACAAGGAAAAGCAGTCATGTCTTTGGGTGGGTTTGGCTTCATGGTTGATACTTTGAAGTGCGTTAGGGGGGAATCAAAACAAAGCCAGCTCTTCCCCTAAGACTTTGGCTGTGTTAAAAATGAAAACTGCCATTGGATCCTCTGGGTGTTTAACAAATCCTGTGTTCCCTCAGCCTGCCCTGAGAGCCGGTATGGGAAGGACTGTGCCCAGCTCTGTGCCTGTGGCAAAGGGCAGTGTGACCCACGGACTGGCGAGTGCTCCTGTGCCCCCGGCCACACGGGCCCTGCCTGCCAGCAAGGTAATCAAGCAGGACTCAGGTCACCTCGCCAGTGGGTGACACACTTAAAATACAGCAAATAAACTCAGTGCCAGGCATTGTTCACAGCCACCTTGCCCAGGGCCTTTGCTGATAAGGCTGAGGTCTGGGGCGCTCAGCCTCTGTCCCTCCCCGCTCCATCACCCAGCCTAATCCTGCCCACACCTCCCTGCCACCCTCGGTGCCAGGCCACTGGCTTCTCCAGGAAGCTGTGGGAATTTGTCAGGACACAGTGTTTGGGTGAAACTAATAATAATCATGGAGTAGTGTCCCACCACCCCAGGGAGACCCTAATCACTTGGGATACATGTGGGGAGCATGTGTTTGTATTTATTCCCTGTCACCTTCATCCTTTCCTTGGGGTGCTAATTTTGGGGTTTTTTCAAACTTTGTTAATTCTCTGTAGTGTGTCCCCAGGGACAGTATGGCCCCAACTGCCACCTGAGGTGTACCTGTCAGAACGGTGGCATCTGTGACCACGTGGATGGCAACTGCACCTGCGGGCTCGGCTGGACAGGAAAATCCTGTGAGGAAGGTGATTTCCTGCTTCGATGGCAGTGGATTTGTGCACTCAAGAGGGGCTTTGCAGTGTCCCCAGACACACACAGACAAGGACAGTTTCAGAACTGTCCCTAGTTAGAGCTTCAGGTCTTTTTTCAAAACAGTTTTCTCCTGAGTACTGCTCATGAATTCCCTTACACACTTCTTATTTCTTCTTCTTCTCCAGTCCAACTTTTGTGTTCTTTGTCCATAGGAATTTTGGGTTTTGTCTTCTTCCATGTGATCCTCAGAGCAGGAGAAGCCTCTGTCTTCCTCCTCAGTGGCTGTGTTCTCTTTTATTTGACTCTGGACTGGAGTTGAGCCTCCCATGTGTAGACTTCCTAGATGTTCTGACAACATCTGTCCAAAGCAATTGAGATTGTCCTGCTCTCTCACCCTTATTTCTCCATGACACCTGTCCCTTGAGCAAGACAAAGCACACTAACTGAATAAGCTCATATCCCACTCCAGAATCTCTCCTGTCAGCCCAGTCTTCCCACAACTGTCCTGTCCATCTCCCAAAAACCATTCTGTATTTCTGTGTTCCTATTTCTCTCTGTAGGTAAGAGATATCTGTATAGTTACGGACTTGAATGTTAGGAAACCACAAGTTTACTGGTATGAAATGCAAGTAAATAATTCTAAGTACACTTTCAGGACAAATGTCATCATTAAATCGTGCAGATGTCCCCACATGGAGTAGTGGATTGTGAGTGTATCTCATAGATAAAACATCTCTGGAGTGGAGCACAGGGGGCAAACATGCACACATTGTGTAAGGAACTGTGTGTTGTACCACTAGAGAGAGTTTCACGATTTATCTTTTGACACAGGGAATGAAATTATTGGAAAATTGAGTCTTGATCTCCACAGCAGTGTGGGTTGGAGTGTGTTGTGACTGGAAATCAAAGACAGCTAATCAGGCATCCTTTGAATAGAGATTAGATATGATGTTCCTGGAAGATCCTGTCTGGCATTTGCAGGGTTCTCCATCTGATTATTTGGACGGCCACGCTCGTTTAAGTTCGTCTGCCCAGATTCAAATTATCCCAGCAGTGGGAAGTTAACTTATTCAGAGATGATGCTGAGGTTAATTATATTGGCACAGTCCCTTCTGCATGACTTGGCTTTCAGTAATTTGAGATGTGTTTAGTTCTGTAAAAGCAGATAGTTCATTATACATGGACAGACTGTTGCTATGTGTGAAAAAGATCCTCCTGGTTTTATTAGGAATTTGAATAGTGTGATAACACAGAGGAGGAAGAGCTTCATGTTTTCTTTCACACTTTTTAAGTGCCTAAAAGAAAATATTGCTGTAGATAAAGAAAGAAAAAAGAAAATCTAATTTATGCCATTCACCACAAGGCTTTACAACACATGGTGTGGGTTCAGCATCGAGTCTGTGAAAGAAATTGAAAAAGGCAGACTGTTAAAACTGAAGAAATAACATAAAAGATTTCTCACCAAAGTATGCAAAAGCATCATAGTTGTGCAGAAATTTTGTGCCTTCATAACAAATACTCTTTGGTCTGCAAATTATTCCCTGGGTATCATCTCTTGGCAACGCAATCTGAGGGCAGCGTGGGTGAGGGCAGTGATTGTTTGCTTGATGGTTTGTCTGTTTTTCTGTCCATGTCCTGCCAGCAGAGTGCCTCCCAGGCAAGTATGGGGCTGGCTGCTCCTTGGACTGCCCGTGCCAGCACGATGGCACCTGTGACAGGTTCACAGGCTGCTGCAGCTGCCCCGAGGGCTTCTACGGCCACTCCTGTGAGCACGGTAAGCGGAGGCACTCGGGGTCATTGTCACGGGTTTGGGGCTTCAGAGGAGTCAAGAAACACCTCATTAGTTCCGTTAAAATTTTGGGGATGTCCCAGATCATCCAGCTCCTTCTAGATCTTGCAAGTTTCTGGTGCTGGGTGATGGAAGTTTAAAAGTCCATGGAATTAGCAGACTTAAGGATAAATATCATTTTTTGTTGGCTGCCAGGGAATGTCATAGAGAACACGGAGGATTTTTATGGTGTGTGTGATTTTCTCCATGAACCTTCTTCATTTTAATTTTTCAGGGTGCCCCCTGGGATTTTATGGACTGGGCTGTCTTCAGGCCTGTGCCTGTAAAAATGGAGCGAGCTGTGATGCAGTGACAGGACAGTGCCATTGTCCTTTGGGTTATCATGGTGTCCACTGTGAAAAAGGTACTGGGAAAGAAAAAAGACAAAGGAAAAGAAAACAAACAACAAAAAAAAACCAACCAGGAAAAAACCCAAACACCAAAAAAAAAAGCCAAAAGCAGAACTCAAAAAAACTCATATAATTATTGAAATATTTGTTGGGAGCCACTTCTTCCATATTTTGAGCTTAATGAATATCCTGAAATACTGAATTTGGGACAGATTTCCTGTTATACAGCTGGGTGTTCCCATTCCCTTATAAATTAACTAATCTGGTTCCAATTAATACAGTGAAAGTCCTGGTCTCCGTGATGTCTTGCAGCAATGAGTTCCACATGCCATTTATTAAAAATAAGTCCCTTTTACTGATTCTAAATTTGCTTCTAAAACTCCAAATAAGATTATTAAATAGCTGCATGTCAAACCTGTTGAGTGTTATGGAGGGGTCTTCTAGAGAGTTCTAATTAAAAATAGAAATAAGTGCCAGCCACATTTCTGGGACAGATTTACAGATACCTTTGAGAAGTTAGATTAGACAACCCCAACAGAAGGAGAGCTCATTTAAATATTGTGCCCATTCTGCTGTGTTTGATTTTTTCATTAAGCTTGGCATTTACACTGATTTCATTTATGAGCTTTCCCCTGAGACATCCTGGGAAAACTCTGGGTTTCATGTTACATCTTGCCACTCAGATGTGCATCTAAAGGGTTCTCTTGCTGTCAGGCTGTGCCAGGGGCTGGTTTGGTGAGGGCTGCCAGCATCAGTGTGACTGTGGGGATGCTCCTTGTGATCCAGAGACTGGGAAGTGCCTTTGCCCACCTGGGAAGACTGGAGACAAGTGTGACATTGGTAAGGGCAATATTTTTAAGGGCTGGACTGTGTATTGTTATACCACTCTGACCTGTTGGTTTTGGAATAACTGTAAAAGGACATTAGTTGGTGTTCAAGAACACATTGTTTGTAGAAAATTGCTGTTTGTGATTATTAACACCTTTATCAGCAGGCTTGTACCTCTTGATTTAATCAATATTTAAATTGATATCCTGATAGGAACACTGTTCATGGGTCAGCTGTAAAATGTCATTTGCCTTGAATTTTGGAGAACACAAGCTGGGGAAGATAGGCCAAGAAGTTTTGCAAATGTAGTTAAGAAGACTCCAGAGGGTGCAGTTGGGCACCAAGGGCTCCAGTTGCTGTGTGTTTTATCACACTGACATTTGTGAGCCTTTTCAGACCAGTGTAAAAGTATGTCCAGCTCTGGATTTGCTTTCCCTGGAAGCAGGATGGAGTCCCCAGAGGTGAGGGCAGTGGAGCTGCAGCAGCTGTGCTTGGCCCTGGCCTTCAGCAGGAACTTTTAACCCAGATGTAATTCCCTCCTTTGCAGCACAGGCACTTGGGCTGTGTGTTGGCCCACAGGAGCAGAATTCTTCTGTAACAAGGATATAAAAATAGGTGAGGAATTTTTCCTGTAGGTAAAACCAGCCCCGCTGCTGTACCCTGGTGGGGTTGAGGGGCAGCAATGGCAGATTCTCTGGTTACAGCTGTGACTCTGATCAGAGCTCAGGGCCAGGCTGGACAGGGCTTGGAGCAACCTGGTCTGGTGAAAAGTGTCCCATGCCTGTGGTTGGAGACACATGGGTTTCTAACCCATAGCTATCCTATCCTATTCTGTGATTATGATGGAGCAGTTTTAGTGTAATCAGTGGAGTAAAAGGAATTGCAGTGGTTTAACTGAGTGTAGGAAAGCATTTGTAATCCCAGTGCTGTGACAAACAAGATAAAAGGAGTGAACATCCATGTGCTACCGTGGAGCTTCACCAGGAACCAAAATCCCCCTGAGCTCCTGGAGCAGAGGGGGAAAATTATTTCTCCTTTTGTTCTAGGATGGGGCAGAAATAGATTTAAGCAAGCTGTTATTAATACAAATTGCTGTGAGCTTAAGCATTAGTGCAACTTGCAAAACTAAAATGGAAAAGTATCTGATTCCCTCTGTGCAGTGTCCTGTGGTCAGGAAATGAAGCTCCCAGTCTGGAGCACTGTTCCAGTGGGAACATGAGCCACCCTCAGTGCCCACACACCACTGGGTGTCCCTGGGCCTTTCCAGTAAAATTTTAGGCAGAAGTGGAACGCAAGGGGGAAGTTCAGCACCAAAAATGGGAATTGAGGTTTTCTTCCTCACAATCTCTGCGAGTCATTTTTATTTTTTTTAAATCAGCTAGGGTAGCCCCCATCCATGAAAAGCTGTTATGGGGTAGGTTTTATTTGCATTTTTATTTTCAATTAGGCTCAGTTCATCTGTGATATAACTGTGAGCAGCTGTGACTGTGCAGCAGCCATAAAGATAAAAGGCCTGATTTTAATTTGAACTCTGGTAAAGCACCCATTAAACAGGCAAAATGTTAATTAAAAAAAAAAAAGAGAGAGAGAGAATATAACAGACTTTTATGGGCGTTCTTTTTCTGTAATAAATTAACATTGCAGACTTTCAAACAGATGTCTTAAATACACATTGTTATTAACATGAAAATGTGGTATTACATAAATTAAAATCAGGTCCAGAGGTGTTTGGGGAGACCTTTTCTCATAACATTTCCTAATTGAAAAGGCCAAGCTCGGAGCGCACGGGGCGAGTTCTCCCACGTGCTGGGGCTGCAGCTGATGCAGGGCTCAGCAGGACTTCATTTACCTGAGGGTGCTCGTGGGAGAAGGCAAATTCCCTGGTTACAGGGTTTTTCAGGTGGGGGAAAGAGGGCCATTGTTTGCTGTGTATTTCACACCCTGCCTTGTGACCCTGCTGCTCACTTTCCTTTCCTGCCTGTCCTCTGATGCATAAAAAGTTGAAGTGAAGATTTACCAGCCTAGGTATGAAATGTATTTGCATTTGGAAGTGAGATTTTTTTTTTTTTTTTTTTTTTTGAGTTTAGTTTAATTTGCCAGGATGCAGCAGAATTGTGCAATCAGAGCAAGACATGAGTATCTATAAATGCATTAATTCTCAGTGTCACACTCTGTGAGGGAAGGCTCTTGGCCAGCATGTACTGACAGCCCAGCCATGCAGGAGAGACAGGGGCAGGAGAAAGTGTGGATCCAGGATGCTGACAGCAACTTTCCTGAGCAGATCCTAAGATGTTCTCTGTTGGGCTGTCAACCCCTGTTTTTAGTAATGATTTCCATTCTGGGAACCTCTTGAGGACAGCTGGGCTGAAGTTGTGCAGATCATGTGGCAGACGAAACTCGATGGCTGCCGCGCTGTCTCTCCCAAATGTGGCGTCTGAACGTGAACAGATGTAGGTGTCTGAGCAGCTTCCTGATCCCCCGAAGGGGGAGGCTGCCAGGGGTGCTCACCCTGTCCCAAACCCTCCTGTCCTTGCAGGGTGCAGGGCGGACAGGTACGGCCCCGGCTGCTCCCTGCGGTGCCAGTGCGCCGGCAGATCCCGCTGCGATCCCCGCAACGGGAGCTGCGCCTGCCCCGGCTCCGGGATGGGCCCGACCTGCAGAGAAGGTAACCAGCATTTCCTGCTGGGATAAAACACCTCTGGCCCATGCTGGTGGGCGGTTTGGACGGGAGGGTCGACCCATGAGATCGTTTGGATAATTTCTCTTCTCAATGAAATAGAGTACGGAGGGAGTTTCCTCTCAGTTGTAGTGTAATCACAATTCCTCCTTTAGTTTAGGGAAAACTTTGGGAACCTTCTGATTTGGAAGTGTTTTATAGTTTTCCCTGTTCTCTGCCTCTGTGTAACTCCCTCCTCTACCTTCTTTTCAAGACTACCATTTATTGAATTATTTAAGTGTAAATTGTATAATCTATATAATATTTCAGTATTAGATTATATGGACCTGAAACCGTGTTTCTACTTAATTCTCTAGGTGGCCCTCCAAAGCTTCCTTTTTATGAAGAACAAGCCCAAGAAAGAGGGAGTATTTTTCCAAGAGCTCTACAACAGTAACATTTGGACTAATAAATGAACTGTTTTATATGCACAGACGGTATTTGAATTTGGATATGAAAACAGTTATTCAATTCAGCTTGAATTGTACTGAAGTATTCACACTTCTTATGGAAGACTACAGAGGCCATTTAGTAGCTGGATCCTTTTAAAGAGTTGAATCTGTTTCATGTGCTCATTCCTAGCCTCTTGCCCCTCCATTAATCTACTCTGGACATTCTTTCTGGTATTAATATAATACATTGCTTGAAAGCCTGGACATGTTTTTAATCAGACCAGCTCCAAAGAGTATCAGGATAAGCAGCGTGTAACACATCACCATGGAATGAGCCACGCTCCCTATCAGGGACTTTCTAAACCCACTTGACAACCAGCACCAAGTCTGAGTATTCCACAGATTATTTCTCTTCAGATTCATTGCAAAATCATATTGCACAGAAACTAGAGGGATTCATGAAGTTAATTCCTCTTTGAATAAAGTGGTTCTGGAGAAGCATGCAGTCTAATTTTGAACTTGCAGCTGAAGAAGAATCCACTACAATCCGACAAGAGTCCTCAATATATTGTTAATTTATTTAAGAGCATCTTCTGGATTTCTAGTGTGGTTTGACTGATTGGAAGGTCTCTGTCTGAATCTGTCTTCCAAAGAGCATGGCGTCATCTTCCAGGCTCTCCTGGAATTCTGTGTTCTCACATCTTACCAGATAAATTTCTCACTCAGTGGGTTGTGCAGCACTTCTCATCAAAGAGTAACTGCTAATGCAGAAGAGGTTTTATCTTGAATGGAGAAAGCAGATAGTAACCAAGGAGAGATGCTTAAAGATACTATCTTTGGGGTTTGTGCTTTTATTGAGCAATTTGGTTTTTTTATCAAGTCATCTCACAGCATCTCCTGATACCATTCAACAGCTGCTGGTGGCCACCTCATAGAACGGAGACATTTGGTGCTATTTTGTCTGTTTAGACAGGTTTTGCCTTTGATATAGAACTATGTCATTATAAAGAAATTTATGTTCTGTATTTTAATATTCTGAGATAACCAGACTAAAAGTTTTCAGTGCCTCTTTATACCTCGCTTTAGGTTGGGAGTTACAAAATCTGTGTAGTAACCACTTGATTCTGACTGTATCAAAAGTCCACTCTAAGAAGGGGCATCAGGACAGTGGTAGACACAGAGCATGGGCAGTTCCAGCTCTTGTGCTGACACTCCATTCACCACCAGAGCAAACTGCAGCTCTGAAAGAGCAGGATTTTGTTTTGTAAGAGAAAAGAAAAATGACATTAATTGATGGTAATTTGGGATTTTTGGAGAAGTTTGTTGTTGTGGTTGGGTAGGTGATGAGTTGGTGACGTAGGATCCAGGAGGTTGGATGGGAAGGTGAGGTCACAATTATTCATCACTTCGTAGGTATTGAAAGTAAAGGTATTTGTGAATGCATCAAAATTCATTAAATAACTGTGCTTTCAGCCAGAAAATCACTGGGGCTGATTCTGATCCCTTTTCATTTCTTCTGTAGAGCTCAATGAATGTCACTGGAAAGTTCATTCAATGTAAATGTGGCAAAATAACAGTCCCAGAAGTGTGTGACTCTCAGCAAGGAAGTGATATTTTAAATGTTCTTTTGGAGGTGTGATGGCCTGAGTCTGATCCTACAGTTATGTGAATTTTGGGCAGTTTCAGCTGGACAGGAACTTGCAAGGTAAATCTCCTGTGAGACAATGAGATATAGTCTTAGCAGCTGCTGGAGAAGAGCAATTGAAGTTGAACAGTTGACATATTTTGGTCTTAGCTCTGTATTTCCTGCAGAGCCAAACTACAACAGTAGTGCAGGTGTCACACTGCACTTAAGATTTTTTTGTAGAATCATCAAGTGAATAAAGCTGTAGAAAACCTCTGGAGGTCTGAGCTTCCCTTTAAAGCCTGGTCAGCTCCAGAGTCAAATGTCTCAGAGATTCATCATTCAAGTCAAATTTCAGAGATTCCTCCCACCTTGTTTAGAACATCTCCAAGGATGGAGATCCCACCACCTCTTTTAACCTGTTCTAGTGGAGATTTCATTTTCTTCATTTTTTTTTCCCCTGGTTTCTCATCAGAATTTCTTCAGCTTCATCTTTGTTCCACTGCTTCTCATCCTTTAATTGTGGATCTCTGAGGAACCTTTGGCTTCCTCTCCCCCAGAGCCCCCATGGGGTAGTTGCTGCAGCCTTGCTCTTCTCTTCTGAAGACCCCCCCATCCACTGGCCACATTCCAGTTCCTCAGACATTCCAGTTCATCCCAGCTGCCCAGAGACTGGCGTGGTTACTCAGCAGCATAAAACCCATTACACTTCTGTTAGACAGCAGAATGTATCAAATGTACTGTTTTTTTCTTATTTTTGTAGATTGATGTGTGATTTGAGCAGCTAATCCAAGGGGAAACCTTTCTCAAGCCATATTATTTACACTCATGTATACTTGTTTACATTTTCTACAGTATCTTGATGATAGAATTGTAAATATGCAGTATAAGGAAATAAAAGATTTTTGTATGACGTGTTTTTAAAGGATGTCACGACTTTAGGTACATGATGAAACACATATTTTAAGTGACTGATACTGAGCCTATGCCAATGAATTAAGGGCCCAAGTAGATCTGCTTTGGGAAATATTTCAGCAAACTTTTTTAAAATCAAAAAATGCCAATTCATACAAACCACTCCATATGCAATAGGCTTTTTTATTCAAAATGCTTCTTGGCTTTATGTTATTACCTTGGGAAAAGAAGTTCACTTCAGTTCCATCAAACAGACCATTCTGATTTGTGGCTCTGCATGACTTTTTGTTCCAAAGCAAAATGCAGTCATATACAGGTAAAAATCAGAATTAAAGATTTCATAAAAATCTTAAAAGAGGAATTTTGATTTGGGTAGTTGGAATGTCCGATCTTGGTTCTTACTTTTTTCATAAGGTAGAGAAAATGTTTACAAAATTTTGTTTCTTAGAAGAGCCAGAACTTTATTAACAACTAATTAAGAAGTTTACTCTTTTTCTGATATTATTGTTATTATTGTTATTCTGCTCCTTACTACAGTTCAACACATATACCTGATTCTTTGCCTACAAACTTTATTAGACAGGATGGATTTTTTTTAATGGAAAACTGACTAAATCAGCTTTCCCAGAGATTAATTTAGTGGCAAGTGAGTGTAGTTGCTACTAAATTAGCACAACTGTGCTTATTTGCTTCATCAGATTCCAGTGCAAGAGTGTCAGGCTAATGTAGTGCTGAGCACTGCACTGGGGCTTGTTGAAAATGGAAGTTAAAAATTCAGTGAAAATGGGATTTATAGTTAAATTGATTCAGTGAAAATGGGGTTCATAGTTAAATTGATTCAGTGAAAATGGGGTTCATAGTTAAATTGATTCAATGACAATGGGGTTCATAGTTAAATTGATTCAGTGACAATGGGGTTCATAGTTAAATTGATGTCCATCTTCCTCTTGGTGAAGGCCTTTGCTGGCTCCCAGGGGGCTGAAGTTAATCACACTTCCTGGAAGGGAGAGCTCTGTGTATTCCTCTGTGGCACACTTGCACGTGCAGATAGCTCCTTTCAGAAAGACACTGGGATTATTTCAGCCATGCAGCTCCCGTGCCAAGACCCCCTCTCTTACCTTGTGTGTTCCAGATAACTTCAGCTGGAGTGGGAAGGAGCTGAGTGTAACTCAGTGGGCCCAGCAGAACCTCACTTTCTGTGAATTCATGAAGCCAGGACAACATGTTTTAAGTTAGATTTCACTAACACTATCCTCATAGGAAAACAATCAGAATTTTAAAAATTCCCCGCTTGCCCTGCCAAAAATTATTATTCTACTTTTATCCTTTTTATGTTGAAGAACCATAGCTATTAAAGTTTGCCCAGATTCCTTGCCAACCATATTATTTTGATTGGCTGCAGGTTTCTGTTTGTGTAAGTAATAACCAGCATAGTGTCAGGAGTTGCCAACGGGACAAACATGGAAATAAAACCTTCATGTCCTTCCCAGAAGAGGCAAAGACACATTTGGGAGCCATCGTGGCTTCACTGTGCAGATCAAACAGTGACTCTGTTAGAATTTAGCTTCTTATCAGAGCAAAGTAAATCTTAGGAACAATCTTTCAGAGTGCTGATGGACCAAGAAACTTCTATCCTCCCATTCTTGTGTTAATATTTCTATATTTAGGCTAGTAACCTTCTCAGCCACCAGTTTTTGAAGGACTTTTCCTTCAGGTTGACCTGAGCAGCTTCATGCATGGGCTGCAATTGTGCACAGTAATTCTTTTGCAGGGTCACAGCTTTAAATTCTGACACTGTGTAAAGCAATTTCCAGCAGTAAACACCAAATCTCAGCCTTGTAGAGCATAAATTGTTCGTTCTGTTCTTTTTATTGCTCTTAATAAGCACTTGCATAGCAATGTTATGTCTCTGTGAATTTGTAATCCCTCTTCAAGAAATGTGTGGGGTATATCTCAGATTTGTACTGTACTTTTTGTTGTAGACATGTTGTAGTGAAAGGATGCTGATTTTTTTTTTATATATATATAAACATGTCATTAAAACTTGGTCTTGTTTTTCCCTTATTGCTAGTTTTGAAGCAACAGGCTTACGTTGTGGATGAGACTTTATTCTACTGAACTAATTCACATTCAGAGCAAACAGGCTGAAATCACACCTGCTTTGGTAGTTTGTACAGAATAAATAATGGCCTGTGCCCAAGTGGGTTTGTGTATGATCCCTGACCAGGGCAGGCTGGCCAGTGACTGAGCCTGACAAATGGAGCTTTCTGGCACTCCAGAGTGTTAGAAATATTCAAAACACAGCATGAACCTTGCTGGAGGAGGATGCTTGTGAAGTGTGACATTTTGGGAAGGCTTGGGCACAGAGCACTTTGAAGGCGTTTGAAGCCACACACCTGCAGCCTCCATCAGCCTGCTCGGGCACTGCCCAGGGCCCAGTTCTGCCAACAAATTGCCTGGTTCACCTTCAGGGTATTGTCTTCTCACATTGGCAGGAGCTGAAGGAACCTGTGTGCCTGCTTAATGCCAAATAGTGCAGTAAGAGTGTGTTGGTTAATTGGGAGTAGCAGGCTAAATTGAATTCAAAATGTGTAATAAAGGGGGAACAGTAGATCAAGCTGTCAAGAGGAAAAGTGGACAGCTCTGGCTTGCTGCTTTCTGGGAGAGCAAGCTTGGATTCCTTTGGAAATTTCAGGGCAAACATTTAGAATGGAGTTGTGTAATACTGCAGGGTTCTGTCTTGCCTGATTTACTTCACTCTTCCTGCAGTTTTCAACAAAGAACAGAATAATTAAGTTCATTTGGTTTGTCATCTTTTTGACATATGTTCTAAAAATAATTCTATAATCCTTGCAATTTTTCCAGTAATTTCTTTTTTAGAAGCCATATTCCTACTGCTCTAAGAAGCTGTTGATGCTATCAACATATCATGTTGATTTTAACCTCTCAGATTGCTGTTTAAAGCTGAACAAAAACTAGAATATTCTCAACCTCTGCAGATTTAGCATTGATCTGTGATTTAAACCTTTAGAAAGCCGTGCCTCTGCAGCACTTGAAATGTGCATAAATCGTGGAATGGTTTGGGTTGGAAGGGACCTTAAAGATCATTTATTTCCAGCTAAATATGGGGCAGCCACAACTTCTCTGGGCACCCTTTGCCAGTGCCTCATCATCCTCACAGTAAAGATTTTTTTTCTGATGTCTGGGATCTGTGGAACCAGAATGACCTTGTGGCTGTGTCCAGGGAGCACTGTTCCATGGGATTGTCCCTCAGCACCTTCAGAAATCATCATCCCAATCTGCAGCCAGCACTGCTTATCTCTTCTTGTAGTCAGTACTAGAAGTTCACGGGGTGCTCATAGAATATTCTGTATGCACACAATAAAAACAACCATCCAAACCCCACGAATGGTTTAAAAATGTCATTAAAGTGCTGTATGATAAGGCACTTCTTTGTTGATTCCTTCAAGCATGGTAGTTAAAAAAAACACAAGTCAGTTGTGTTGTTTTATATATGAATAAAGATGTCAGCAAGTAGTCATCTAACTGTCCGTGCCATTTGGCAGTATCTAGCTTCCTTTTCAGTAATAGCCCAATAAATCTTTATCTTTTACTAAGCTGACGACAGCAAAACATCTTGAGAAGCTGCATGTGGTGTAGATATTATAGTTAATACTTAAATGCTTCATGCCATCGTCTGCTGGGTGTTTTTTCCCATCCAGATGTAACATGCTGATTTAAGGCATGTGCTCACTTCTCCCTCTAGTGATTCCAAGAGCTTAATGGTAATTAATTAATTAATCAATCAATTAATTAATTAAGGTCTGTTATTCAAGACCATTATGTTGGTCCATAGTAACTGAGATCCACCTATTCGGGTGACCTCACTGACCTCCCACCAAAAGTGGTCCAAAAGTTGCAGCTTTGCCATTTGGAGTGGGTTCTGTGCTTTGTGTTTTCTTTCTGCCTACAAGCCCTTGGTTCATCCAGAAATTCAGGGCTTGTCTCAGCTCTGTCCCCTGCTCTGGAGGTGGCCATGGAGGCTTCCCAGTGGGAGCAGCACTGTGAACTGGGCTCATGGTGGCTGGGTAAGTGGAGCCTTTTTTGGGGTAGGAATGCCCCATGCTCCCATCCAAACCAGCCTGTCATTTCTTTGTTACTTGGTAAGTCTTAAAAATTGCCATCGATTACTTACAAAGTGACTTAATGAAAATTCTGATTTTTGCAGCTGGAGGAGGCTTTTTTCAACCAGAAATCCAGTTTCTAAATGATTTATTTCTCCTCCAAGAACCACATTAGGATTTCTTGCTGTTCGTCATCATCAAAGAGCAAGATTGGTGCAAGTAGAGACTGTGGGGTAATTCCTGCCTGTCCATTTGCTTTTGTTCCTTTTTCCCTGACATTTCAGCTGTTGTAGCTGTTGTGGATTTTGGCCTTGCACTACCAGGCACAGGGGAAGGCTGCTCTTAATTATTACTTTACATTAAGGGTAGGCATGAAATACAAAGCTGCAAATAGCATCACATTAAATATGGGCTGTATCCCTGGGTAATGAGGGGTGGGAATGCTGCAGGAGCAGCAGCCATGGATGGCATCACTCTGCTGGAGCCTTTTGTGGAGCCCTTCACCCTTTCAAAAGTAAGAGGTCTGAACAGGCAGCTTGAAAGACTATTAGAACTGCTCACGGTCATAGTTAGCGTGTTAAAACATTTTACAAGAACCAGTGAATTTGATCAGAAAATAGTTATTTTTGGCTGCCAGTGTGGCAAAACCACTTAAAATACAAACTCAAGAATGTGTTGAAAGGAGTCAGTTTGCCAGCACAGCTATTGTTGTAGCAAAGTCTCCCCTCTGATCCAACGGGAATCCTCTCCTCAAGTTTTATTACTTAAAAAGTAATGTGGATGTCAAGCACCTGGAAATCTTTGTATTTGAGAAGAGCATTGGTAGGGGCTGGATGGGTTTGATTTCTTGGTGCAAACTCTTTTGCTGTCGGGTGTTAGCTGGGGGTTTCCTTCCCTTGGGAAGTTTTGAGGATTGATTTGGTAGTTCAGTGTGAGTGCTCTGATAATGTGCTCTCTACAAGGGGCAACAAGATGTGTGATTTGGTGCAAAAGTATTTGAATTTGCTGTGTATTTTCTCTTATTTTTGATTTCTAGCTTAAAAAAAAAAAAAAAGCCTTGGCTTTTTTTGCCTTTTTAAAAAATATGTGGAGAGCCCCAACCACCACGCAAGGGTCTTCTAGAGAGGCAGGGCTTTGTCCTTTGAGAAACATCCCAAAAATGCCTGTAAGCACTTGGGACAGAATGATTTCAGCAGTAGAAATCCATTTTGATACATGTCCCAGTGAGGGTTTGTGCAAGCAGAAATCCCCAGGACCCTTGAGGAGCTGAGAAGGGATGGATCTGCAGCTCTTCTCAGCTCCTCAAGGGTCCTGGGGATTTCTGCTTGCACAAACCCTCACTCAAGTGCATAAATGGTGCTGCAGCATCACGTTCCAAGGCAGGGGAGATGGGAAAAGCATCATGACCAATAAATTAATGTTTTACTTTGAGTGGGCATGAAGGAGGGTGTTGAAAACTGCTGTTCTTCTTGCCTCTGCTGCCAGCAAAACAAAGCCCCACACAAGAGGGCTTGACGGTCCCTCTGAGGAAAAATTCCTTTGCCAGCTCCACCAGAGTGCCTTGTCCAAGTTGCCCTGAAGGAATCTCTGCCAGAAGTACCTGTTAACAATAAGGACCTGTTAATGTTTCACAATTATTTTCCCAAGTATTTAATTGCTGCACCAGTCCCCAACACAAGAAACTGGCACATATTAAATACACAATAACTGTGGAAACCTCTGGTCTGTCTGCATGTGCCAAGACCAAGATACAGCTGCACATCTGCAGGTCTGGGGATGACTCTGACTGCAGTCAAGATGAATAAAAGCTGGGGCTCTGTCAGCCATAACTACAACTTTTCCAAAGAAAATCAACATTATTTTTGTCTTTTATGGAAGAAAGCTAAACCCCAAATTACTCATGGCAGTCACATCCCAGTTTCCTGCACAGAGGCTGCTCTGGGGAATGAAGGAGAGCAGCGTTGGGGGCCAGTCAGGAGGGATTGTTTGTAATTCCCCATCCCCACGAAGGTGTTGCTTGGTCACTGGCTTCGTACCAGATACAAAGTCATGATTTACTACAGGTGTGATCTTCCTGCCTCAAAGTGTATTTACAGAGCTCTTGCTTGCCTTCCCCATGTGGATGCCAAAGCTGATGAGGCTGACCTTTACAACTGACAAAACCCCACAAATTGTAGCTGCTCTGTCTGATATCAAGGCAACATTGCAGCTTATTTTGATAGTTTATCCTCCCCAGGTGAGGAAACTGCAGCCTCTCTCTGCAGGATCTTAAAGACTAGGCTGTGCCTTGATGGATGTCAGAAGGTGATGTTGGCTTTTGAAGTGGTACTGAGAGCCTGTCTTTGTTCTTGAACCTTGTTTCACCTTTTCAGCTTGTAAATTTAGATATCTGCCTAAGTTTCATCTGCCTGATAGAGTTTAGGAGCTACTTGGCAACACATCTTCCCAACTCCTGTCAGTTTGATCATTGATGTGGCTCCCATGGAGCAGTTCCTGTTGGATGCTGCATTCTCACATGTTGGGACATCCACTGCTTGCAAAAGATGTTCATGGACTGCAATGACATAGAGTGATTAATTTTGCTTGGTTTTTCCAGAGGAATAGGTGGATTCAAACCTGCAGGGAGCCAAGGGAGAGCTGGACTGGAGTCTCCTACACCCTGGTAAGAGCTCCAGTCACTGAGTGATTTGATAACCAGAGCACTCCTTATGGCTATCTTCCCACAGGCTTACAAATATAGTTTGAAGGTTTGTTTATTTTTAACTGGAATGAGCATATTGGTAATTTGCACAATTATTTTTTGGCCTCCAAAAATGTTTGAGCAACTCAGTAGGTGGCACCCTTTCTATTCCTTTATTTTCCACCAAATGTCAAAAATAAGTTGGAGCTGGAGCCTGTGAGTGTTTTGTGTGTGTGTGTGTGTGTGAAACAAGTTCAGTA